TGCTATTTTGGCTTATTAATGATGTTTGGAAAACTCGGATTATTAAGAAAATTTTCTGTTTTTATACCTTTTTGCAGAGTATAGCTTCAGTCAGAAGATTAAAACGCAGTGAAGGAGTCTTTTCCGACCCTATAAACCATATATATTCTTGATCAGCATCAACAGCCCAGTCGTTCTGGCCATGTCCGGTCAAAAAATAAATTTTTTACATTTTTCCGAAAATTGAAAATTTTATAAGGGGTTACATCATTAAAATTGCCAAAATTTGACAAAAAATTGAATTATTTAAATTTGAAAACTGAGTATGCAGCTTTGTTAATCTACTAAATACTAGCATAGAAACGCTTTCCGAATTAAAATCAATTATTTTTTGGCTTAGTTATGAGTTTTTTTAAGTATGATTTTTGGGAAAAATTGTCTGTTTTTATACCTTTTTGCGGGTTTCTATAATTTTAGTCAGAAACGTATAACAGCATCAAGAAATGCAGTATGCAGATTTGTTAGTGCTATAAAAACTTGCACAGAAAAGTTTTCCGAATCAAAATTAATGCTATTTTGGCTAATTATGATGTTTGGAAAACTCAGATTATTTAAGAAAATTTTCTGTTTTTATACCTTTTTGCAGAGTATAGCTTCAGTCAGAAGATTAAAACGCAGTGAAGGAGTCTTTTCCGACCCTATAAACCATATATATTCTTGATCAGCATCAACAGCCCAGTCGTTCTGGCCATGTCCGGTCAAAAAATAAATTTTTTACATTTTTCCGAAAATTGAAAATTTTATAAGGGGTTACATCATTAAAATTGTCAAAATTTGACAAAAAATTGAATTATTTAAATTTGAAAACTGAGTATGCAGCTTTGTTAATCTACTAAAACTAGCATAGAAACGCTTTCCGAATTAAAATCAATTATTTTTGGCTTAGTTATGAGTTTTTTTAAGTATGATTTTTGGGAAAAATTGTCTGTTTTTATACCTTTTTGCGGGTTTCTTAATTTTAGTCAGAAACGTATAACAGCATCAAATACGCAGTATGCAGATTTGTTAGTGCTATAAAAACTGCACAGAAAAGTTTTCCGAATCAAAATTAATGCTATTTTGGCTAATTATGATGTTTGGAAAACTCAGATTATTTAAGAAATTTTCTGTTTTTATACCTTTTTGCAGAGTATAGCTTCAGTCAGAAGATTAAAACGCAGTGAAGGAGTCTTTTCCGACCCTATAAACCATATATATTCTTGATCAGCATCAACAGCCCAGTCGTTCTGGCCATGTCCGGTCAAAAAATAAATTTTTTAAATTTTTCCGAAAATTGAAAATTTTATAAGGGGTTACATCATTAAAATTGTCAAAATTTGACAAAAAATTGAATTATTTAAATTTGAAAACTGAGTATGCAGCTTTGTTAATCAACTAAAAACTAGCATAGAAACGCTTTCCGAATTAAAATCAAGTATTTTTTGGCTTAGTTATGAGTTTTTTTTAAGTATGATTTTTGGGAAAAATTGTCTGTTTTTATACCTTTTTGCGGGTTTCTATAATTTTAGTCAGAAACGTATAACAGCATCAAGAAATGCGGTATGCAGATTTGTTAGTGCTATAAAAACATGCGAAGAAAAGTTTTCCGAATCAAAATTAATGCTATTTTGGCTTAATTATGATGTTTTGAAAACTCAGATTATTAAAAAAATTGTCTGTTTTTATACCTTTTTGCAGAGTATAGCTTCAGTCAGAAGATTAAAACGCAGTGAAGGAGTCTTTTCCGACCCTATAAACCATATATATTCTTGATCAGCATCAACAGCCCAGTCGTTCTGGCCATGTCCGGTCAAAAAATAAATTTTTAACATTTTTCCAAAATTGAAAATTTTATAAGGGGTTACATCATTAAAATTGTCAAAATTTGACAAAAAATTGAATTATTTAAATTTGAAAACTGAGTATGCAGCTTTGTTAATCACTAAAAACTAGCATAGAAACGCTTTCCGAATTAAAATCAAGTATTTTTTGGCTTAGTTATGAGTTTTTTTTAAGTATGATTTTTGGGAAAAATTGTCTGTTTTTATACCTTTTTGCGGGTTTCTATAATTTTAGTCAGAAACGTATAACAGCATCAAGAAATGCGGTATGCAGATTTGTTAGTGCTATAAAAACATGCACAGAAAAGTTTTCCGAATCAAAATTAATGCTATTTTGGCTTATTAATGATGTTTGGAAAACTCGGATTATTTAAGAAAATTGTCTGTTTTTATACCTTTTTGCAGAGTATAGCTTCAGTCAGAAGATTAAAACGCAGTGAAGGAGTCTTTTCCGACCCTATAAACCATATATATTCTTGATCAGCATCAACAGCCCAGTCGTTCTGGCCATGTCCGGTCAAAAAATAAATTTTTTACATTTTTCCGAAAATTGAAAATTTTATAAGGGGTTACATCATTAAAATTGTCAAAATTTGACAAAAAATTGAATTATTTAAATTTGAAAACTGAGTATGCAGCTTTGTTAATCAACTAAAAACTAGCATAGAAACGCTTTCCGAATTAAAATCAATTATTTTTTGGCTTAGTTATGAGTTTTTTTTAAGTATGATTTTTGGGAAAAATTGTCTGTTTTTATACCTTTTTGCGGGTTTCTATGATTTTAGTCAGAAACGTATAACAGCATCAAGAAATGCAGTATGCAGTTTGTTAGTGCTATAAAAACATGCACAGAAAAGTTTTCCGAATCAAAATTAATGCTATTTTGGCTAATTATGATGTTTGGAAAACTCAGATTATTTAAGAAATTTTCTGTTTTTATACCTTTTTGCAGAGTATAGCTTCAGTCAGAAGATTAAAACGCAGTGAAGGAGTCTTTTCCGACCCTATAAACCATATATATTCTTGATCAGCATCAACAGCCCAGTCGTTCTGGCCATGTCCGGTCAAAAAATAAATTTTTTAAATTTTTCCGAAAATTGAAAATTTTATAAGGGGTTACATCATTAAAATTGCCAAAATTTCACAAAAAATTGAATTATTTAAATTTGAAAACTGAGTATGCAGCTTTGTTAATCTACTAAATACTAGCATAGAAACGCTTTCCGAATTAAAATCAATTATTTTTTGGCTTAGTTATGAGTTTTTTTAAGTATGATTTTTGGGAAAAATTGTCTGTTTTTATACCTTTTTGCGGGTTTCTGTAATTTTAGTCAGAAACGTATAACAGCATCAAGAAATGCAGTATGCAGGTTTGTTAGTGCTATAAAAACATGCACAGAAAAGTTTTCCGAATCAAAATTAATGCTATTTTGGCTTATTAATGATGTTTGGAAAACTCGGATTATTTAAGAAAATTTTCTGTTTTTATACCTTTTTGCAGAGTATAGCTTCAGTCAGAAGATTAAAACGCAGTGAAGGAGTCTTTTCCGACCCTATAAACCATATATATTCTTGATCAGCATCAACAGCCCAGTCGTTCTGGCCATGTCCGGTCAAAAAATAAATTTTTTAAATTTTTCCGAAAATTGAAAATTTTATAAGGGGTTACATCATTAAAATTGCCAAAATTTGACAAAAAATTGAATTATTTAAATTTAAAAACTAAGTATGCAGCTTTGTTAATCAACTAAAAACTAGCATAGAAACGCTTTCCGAATTAAAATCAATTATTTTTTGGCTTAGTTATGAGTTTTTTTAAGTATGATTTTTTGGAAAAATTGTCTGTTTTTATACCTTTTTGCGGGTTTCTATAATTTTAGTCAGAAACGTATAACAGCATCAACATACGCAGTATGCAGATTTGTTAGTGCTATAAAAACATGCACAGAAAAGTTTTCCGAATCAAAATTAATGCTATTTTGGCTTATTTATGATGTTTGGAAAACTCGGATTATTTAAGAAAATTGTCTTTTTTTATACCTTTTTGCAGAGTTTAGCTTCAGTCAGAAGATTTAAACGCAGTGAAGGAGACTTTTCAGACCCTATAAATCATATATATTCTTGATCAGCATCTAAAGGGGAATCGATCTGGCCATGTCAAGTCAAAAAATAAAGGATCGCAATTTTTTCAAAATTTCAAAAAATGATAATGGGTTATATATTTTTTAAAAATTTATCAAAAATTCAGTTTTTTAAATTTAAAATTGACTATTCAGCTTTGTTAGTCTACTAAAAACTAGCATAGAACAGCTTTCCGAAGTAAAATGAATGATTTTTAATTTAATTATGAGTTTTTTAAACTATGATTTGGTAAAATTTGTACTGCGAAAGACTAAAATAAATTTATATTATTCAATCATCGACAGGATTTCTGAAAATATTAACCATTCAAAGCGCTTCTCGATAATAATTATAAAACTTCGATTGTTTTTTCGGTAAAATTATTTTAATTTTCTTACATTTCGAATCTAACTAGAACTTAATATTAATTGAGAAAATATTTTCAATACCTAAGTAAAAAGTACTCTCTAAATACTAATAGCCAGCAATATATATATATATATCAATTTCTGTGAAACATTTCGTATACTCTAGGAAATATATATATGAATGTGTATATTTGTGTGATATACTTATTTTAGAGTGGGGAGGTTCCGGAACCTACAAAAATATATTTATGTATGTATATATAAATGATTGCATGAATCTTTTAACCTTACAATAATTAAGGTATTTCTTTTGCTACATGCTATATTCAAAAAATTCACACAGTATCGACCGAAATTCAAATTAAAATAAAAATATTCTTTCGTGGGATAATAATTAAAAGATATGCAGAGTTTAAATCAAACCTAATTTGTGATAGTTACAGAAAACTAACGATACTTTTGTTTTAAGAATATATATACACTTTAAGTTCGTGCAGACTAAATAAGAAAATGGACTATGATTTATTTAAAAATTATAATATAATATATATATAATATACCAGAGTAACCGATATGCTGGTATCTATATTTGCATGCCCGTATGATGCATTGACGAATTCAGTGGACTAGATTCGTTTGTTGGTATATCATAAGAACCTGGATCAGGCTAGAACTAATTGATTTAGTCAGACAATGACAATTCACCAATAACTGTTTTCAATTCTGCGATTATTGCCATCAAAACTATCTTTCTTCAACCCTACACTCTTACCTACTTATGTATATTACAGCTCGCATAAATTCTTGTTTGATTTGTCCAGAAACCCTATTCTCGACAGTTCTAGAGCAACCAGAAAACACGGCGCTAGGAGGACTTATTGCTATTACAGCTATTCACATTGTTGTTGTTGTACAAGTATGGTATGAGGTTGGGCTCTATCTCGAGCTGTTGCCTGAGTATCGAGCTCATCACGAACTCCGTGGACACAATGTGACACTTTGGGTTGCCATGTCGCGTTAAATCCGCGCACAGATGCATGTCCGTCGGACAGGTCACTATGATATAGGAGTCGGGCGCTTGGACATGCGCCTCGGAAACAGCAGCACCGGTCCGTCGTTTTGGCTCCACTTTGCCACCGGACGATTCGATCATCCGAATGATTTCGTCGCGGGCTGGGAACACATCCGGCGTCACATAGAAGTACTTGCCGGCAAATAGTGTCGAACGTGTGGGGGCACACAGGACGGTGTTTAAATTAAATTGCAGATTTTCATCGACCGGTATGTGCTGGATGCGATACGGATCAGTTGGGACGAATTTACCGGCCTTGGCGCTCTCCACAATCCAGCTAGATTTTAGCACAAAGTCCACATGACAGCATGCCTGTATAAGCTTGCAGGTGCGACTCTCGCGTGTCATCACCAGATGCGTGGCATCTGCGGGGCTGTCAACAACGATTCCGCCCAAAATTCTGCAAATAAAATTCCAAAATTAAAAACGTAACTCAAGAAATTAACTTACACTTAAGACTTTAACAAGAAAGGAAGCTAACTTCGGCACGCCGAAGTTTATATACCCTTGCAGATAGAACTTCTATGAATAGGAATCCATACAATATAAATTATATATATTTGTGTTAAAAAACAATGAAGTAATACCTGCTTTCATTTCATTCACCTATACATATTATATTTGCAGTTTTACATTCACAGATTTGCATTTTTCCTCTACATCAAACGATCAAACCTATATGATATAGTCGTCCGATTTTTATGAAATTTGCCACAAAATTTAAGACTAATAAATAAATAAATAAAATAAATAAAATGGCTATACCTCAAATTTGATGAAAATCAGCTGAAAACTAAAAAAGTTATAAATTTAATTGTATTAATTTCTCGATCGTTCCTATGGGAGCTATATGATATAGTAATCCGATTTTCATAAAATTTTACACAAAATTGTAGAATAATATGAAATGGCTATATCTCAAATTTGATCAAATTCTGTTGAAAACTAATAATTTTATAATTTTTTTTGTAAAACTTTTCCGATCATTCCTATGACAGCTATATGATATAGTCGTCCGATCCGGCCCGTTCCGACATATATACGAGTGAGAGTATATAGAAGACTAACTGCAAAGTTTCATTTAGATAGCTTCAAAACTGAGAGACTAGTTTGCGTAGAAACGGACAGACGGACAGACGGACAGGCGGACATGGCTAGATCGTCTCGGCTGTTGATCCTGATCAAGAATATATATACTTTAATAGTCGGAGGTGCCTCCTTCACTGCGTTGCAAACTTCTGACTGAAATTATAATACCCTGCAAGGGTATAAAAACTAAGAGTTTAACAGCATTTGGTATACTCACAACACTGCCTTTTTGAGGGCTTCGGCTTCGGCAACCTGGGAGAAGATAACCTTGGGCGGCTTCGTATTAGTAGGATACTCGATGCATACAATCTGCTCTGGCAACTGTTCCTGCTGGAAGGCATTCATTTTTTGCCGCTTCAGCTTGTGCTCACTGCCAAAGGGATCGGACAAATGACGCTTGACGCGCTCGTGCGCTTCCTGGGTAAGGTTGATCGGTGCCTTCCAAGCAGCTATTCAATGGAGAGGATAAGAAATTAGTTAGAAAAATACGAGAAAGCTCAGTAAAAACACTGAGACTTACTTAACAGATGCGCCACCAGATTGCATTCAATGCGGAATGGAGCGATTAGGCTGTACTGCTGGTATTTGGGATTATCGTACTGGGACAGGCCGCTCAGGTTGCCGATGCAGACGTCGCTGAGCCATAAAGCATTCACCATCGGTATGTTCCACTCCTTGGCCGCGTTGAATTTGTTGCCCTCGAGTTGCTTGCACACGATTACCGTGTTCACCTTGGACAGATATGAGGTGTATATGGCCCCGCATTCCTCGGCCATCTGTTGGAGCCTCACCAGTTCCTCGCCCTCGAATCCCTCAGAGGTAATAATGTACCTTTCCAATGGCTTGCGATAGCCAAACTGACTGGGGAAGGGCAGGTGAAGAGGTTGCCATGGCGGCATCAGCTGACGCTTGAGACAGATATCGCTCAGCCAGTAGGCGGTGACGCAGCGCTTGGCATCCCGCAGAGCCTGCATCACCACACCGTGCCGCTGTGTGCGACAGATGACATGCGTCACACGGGGACAGTAGACGCGTTCGATGTCGCCACCAAACTGCCGAATAGTATCCAGCCAAATGGGTAGCTCATCGCCGTCCGTCTCGTCGTACTCCACGATGTAGAAGGTGCAGCCCACAAGAAAGAGATCGGCGGGCAGCTTCAGGTTGGGATTGTGGCCGTAAAACTGTGGCATCGGTATCGGCGGCTGGCCGGGGCGGGCCTGCATATAACCATGTGGTGGCCGCTGTTGGACTGGCACACCCACGCCTACGCCAACGGCCATTTGTTGCTGCTGCGGGGACTGTGGCGGAGCTACAACGATCTGCTGCTGCACCAGATGCTGCTGTGGAATCTGCTGCTGCTGTTGTTGCGGCACAGCGATCACTCGGCGCATTTGCTGCTGTTGCAGCATTTGTTGTTGCTGCTGTTGTTGTTGTTGTTGCTGTAGCATTAGCAACTCCTGCTGCGTTCGTGGGGGTCCTGACACACCGACGGCTGCTGCGTTATGCTGCTGGCCCATCATCCTCAGAGCACCGGCTGCCGATGGTGGCTCGACATGTTGCTGCTGGACAACCATCTGTTGTTGTTGCTGCTGTTGCATTAGCAGCTGTTGCTGCTGCTGCGGAGTGGCTCCAGTCACCACCTGCTGGACAATCTGTTGCTGTTGTTGCTGACCATCAGGCAGTTGAATTAGTTGCTGCTGCGGCGTCTGCACTCCATTGTTGCCCAAGCGATTGCTCAGCATGTTGGCCAGGGCTGTCTTGGTTTTCAGGTTCATCTGCTGAGGGGTTTGTTGTTGCTGTCCATCGGGAGCTGATTGAGTGAGACAGGAGGTAAAGATTAGCAAAAAAATAAAAATAAATAAATACCCCTTTAAACTAAGTATCTGATTAAATACTATAAAAATTAAAAAAGATATATTCACTCACTTGTTGAAGTCATGACCAAAGTTTGTGTCATTATATTGGCACCGCTTGGGACAGGTCCCGGGACTGCGCCCGGAGTTGTGGGTGTTCCCGGTGTTGGCGGCTGTTGGACAATCGTCTGCTGCTCTATCAGCTGTCCATTGGGTCCAGTGATGAGCTGCACCGTTTGCTTGCCCAGTTGCTGCTGTGGCGCCTGCTGCTGCTGGATGGGTATCTGCTGAACGCGCAGCTGTTGGCGCTGCAAAAGCATTTGCTGATTTGGATCGTTGATGGGGTTAAAGGCTTGTTGCTGCTGCTGCGGCGACTGTTGCTGTTGCGGTGTCGGCTGTCCAACTCCCACTACCGGTTGTTGCTGCTGCTGTATCGGACTGAGGCCAGGAGTTCCCCCGGCTCGAACAACCACCTGGCGCTTGCCCTGTTGCTGCAACCAGAGCATCTGCTGCTGCTGTGTCAGTCCAGGCGGCATTTGGCTCTGGACAATAATGTGACCCGGTGGCACAACAGGACCTCCGGCCGGCCGTGTTGCGACGATGCTGCCCGGTGCACCAGGTCGCGGCTGGTAAGCAACCTGTTGGCGCAGCATCACCCGCGGCTTGCTCTGCTGATTCAACTTGGTGATGTACTCGGCTCTCTTGTGCGCATCCAGGGAAATAAAGTGCGCGTGGGTCTTCTCGTCCAGAACTATTTTCTGTTGCTGCGGTGGCTGCTGCAATATAAGCTGCTGCTGCTGTGACACCTGCTGAGGCTGTTGCTGCTGCTGTTGGACAGGCGGCGGCAGCACGATCTGTTGCTGCTGCTGTTGCTGCGGAGCTTGTGGCTGCTGCTGCTGCTGGCCGGGCCACGAAGATTGCGGTCGCAAGCCGCGCGGTATAAACTGCTGCGGTTGCTGTGGCTGCTGCTGAGGAGTTGTGGGCAGCGGTGATTGCATTCCCACACTGCTGGTGGGAGTTCCTGGAGTGGTGGGTGCTATCTGGCTTGATGCTGGACTTTGCGGGGACCAGTGTTGCGGCATTTGTTGATGGTGTTGGGGCGATTGTTGCTGCAGCAGCAGCTGTTGTTGCTGCTGTTGCTGTTGAGGCGGCGGCGTGCGTTGAGGCAACTGTTGCTGCGTTATCAAGACTTGCTGCATAATCTGCTGCTGTTGCTGCTGCTGAGGGTCTATTGGTAGCTTCTGCTGGACAATCTGCTGAGGCTGCTGCTGCTGAGGAGTTTGTTGCTGCTGTTGTATAAGTATCTGTTGTTGTTGTTGTTGTTGTTGCTGCTGCTGCTGTTGTTGCTGCTTTTGCAGCAGCTGTTGTTGCTGCAGGTATTGCAAGCGCTGTGGATCGCTCAGAATCTGCTGATTAACAACGATTTGCTGCGGCTGCTGCTGCATTTGCATCCGCTGTTGTTGCTGTGGCATAATCTGTTGCTGCTGCAGCATCTGTTGTTGTTGTTGCACTAGTTGCTGTTGCTGCTGCTGTTGCTGGGATATGTTCGTCTGATTCACAACATAAACGTTTTGACTCTGTGGATTTTGAGCCAATATCTGCTGCTGCTGAGCCAAGCTGAGCTGATTGAAGTGCTGCTGACTGATGATAAAGGTTTTCCCCTGTGGCTGCATCGACTGCGGTGCCTGCTGCTGCTGCTGTGGCTGCTGGACTCCAAGGACTTGTTGCTGTTGTTGTATTGGTTGTTGTTGTAATGCCTGTAAGTAGTTTAATTTAGTATAAACAAAAAAAAATATTATCCTTTTATCAAAAAATCGTAAAACGTAATGCATCTAATTTCTGATAAATTCTTTGTCAGGCCTACTAGCCATGCTCAAATTCATTATTAAATAAAATGTGTAAACATACCTGCTGCGGTTGTTGTTGCTGTTGTTGTGAAAACTGTCCAAGAATTTGTTGGTGTTGTTGTTGTGGAATCTGTTGCTGTGGCCGCTGAATCGTTTGCTGAATAATCCGCACTTGGCCACCACCTCCCAATGCGATTTGTTGTTGTTGGGTGAATTGTACTTGTTGCTGCTGCGGCTGCTGCGGTTGTTGTTGTTGGGTATGTTGCTGCGCCTGAGAAAGTTGCTGTTGCTGTTGTTGTGGCTGTTGCAGTTGTTGCTGCTGAACATTCAACATTTGCTGCTGCTTTTGCTGAAGACTTTGGATTATCTGTTGCCCCTGGGCCGTTGATGTGTTTATTACATGTCGCTGGGTGATGACCTGTTGCTGTTGTTGTTGCTGTTGCTGCTGAGGCTGTCCAGACTGGGGTTGTTGCTGTACCAGAACTTGTTGTTGCTGCTGCTGGGCCAAAACTTGTTGTATTTGCTAAAAGCAGACATAGAAATTAATTAATAAAATTAATCTTGTTGACAAGATCAAGAGGTTAAATTGGTGAGATAGTCGCGGGTAGCTTGTTATCTTCTGAATTTCATAAACAGTGTGTTCTTAAGCTTTATTAACTCGTTTTACCTTAATTTCGGTTATTATTTTGCTTAATAAAAAGGTTTGTGTACTTACTTGAGGATTTGGTGGCTGCTGCTGCTGCTGTATTGTTGGGGTGGATGGCTGTTGCTGCAGCGGCGACTGCCTAGGAGATGGAGTGTGTTGTTGTTGAGGCTGCTGTTGTTGCTGCTGCTGCTGTGGAGCCATTTGCTGCTGCTGCTGCTGCAACTGCTGTTGCTGCTTCAATTGTTGTTGCCGCATTATCAGCGAATCCTGGTTGCTACTCAATGTAGAACGACTGAGCACCTGGGCCACTTGAACGGGATCCGTGGGATCGATGGGCTTTTGCTGGGAGAAGGACTGCTGCTGCTGTTGCGGCTGCCCACCCACCTGATGGTGATGCAGCTTGTTCTGTTGCATGGGCGGCGTCTGCGGAATCTGCGGCGACTGTGGAGCAGATATTTGTTGAGGACTTTGCTGCTGCTGCTGTTGTTGAGCCAATTGTTGTTGCTGCTGCAATTGCATGCGCTGCTGCTGATGGACGGGCTGCTGAAAGGGTTGCATTTGCTGCTGCTGCTGCGGGGACATCATTGCCGGTGATTGCTGTTGCTGCGGGGACATGTGCTGCTGTTGGCGATTCTGCTGGATTTGCTGTTGCTGCACTTGCTGCTGGCGCAAATGTTGCTGGGCACTTTGCGGCGACGGAGGTGGCGGTGGCGTCATTTGCGGAGCCGGAGATTGCAGCTGGCGTGGTGATTGTGGCGGCAACATGTTGGGATGATGCTGCTGCTGTAGCGATGGGGATGGCGTGCTGGGTGGCATTACGGGCGAACGGTTCTGCACCATCCGTGGTGATTGCTGAAGGCTTTGCTGCGCCTGCTGCTGCTGGAGACTTTGCTGCTGCTGGAGATTTTGCTGCTGCTGTTGTATTTGCATCTGCAACTGTTGCTGCTGCTGCATGATCTGTTGCTGTTGCTGCTGATTTTGCCTCTGTTGCTGCTGCTGCTGCGGCGTCAGTACCTGTCCGCTCTGGATAATCTGTTGCAGTTGCATTTGGCTCTGATTCAATATCTGTTGCTGCCGCATCAAGTGCTGGTGTATGATTTGCGGCGAAACTGGCACAGACTGCTGCTGCTGGACAATCTGCTGTTGTTGTACAATTTGATTTTGTTGTTGCTGCTGCTGCACAATCTGCTGGTGTTGTTGTTGCGGAGATTGAACGGGCTGCGGCGTTGTTGACTGTGGAGTTCGGGGAGTTTGTCGCCCCGTTGGAGTTGTAGGCAGTCTGGGCGACTGTTGTTGCTGCTGCTGCTGCGATTCTTGCTGAATAAGTTGCTGTTGTTGCTGCTGCTGCTGCTGAATCATTTGAATTTGCTGCTGTTGCTGCTGCTGAACCTGTTGTTGCTGTGCATTCTTCAACTGTCTTTGCTGCTGTAAAATGTTCTTGATTTGCTGCTGGTTCTGCTGCGGCTGCTGTAGAGTTGCGGGTATGATTTTCTGTTGCTGTATAATTAATTGCTGCTGCTGCTGCGGGTGAGGTGATGGCGGAGCAGATGCATGCGGAACACCCTGTTGCAACAATTGTTGCTGCTGTGGTTGCGGTTGCGGTCGCACGAAGACCACTTGCTGCTGCTGCTGGGCATTAGGCACGGGCAACTGTTGCTGTTGTATTTGCTCGGCCGAGGCCTGAAGCTGCGATTTGATGCTTGCGATGCTTTTGGCAGCTGCACTGTCCTCCCCGAAGCCCAGGATGTCCGACAGCGTCGACGAAGAAGTGGCAGGCATCTGCTGCTGCTGTTGTTGCTGTGCCGCTTGCTGCTGCTGCTGCTGGAGGATTTGCTGCTGCTGTTGTTGCAGTTGTTGCTGGTGCTGCAATTGTTGCTGCTGGAATTGCTGCTGCAGCTGTTGCTGTGATGCTGCCTGCTGCTTCTGCGTCCGCTGCTTCTCAATGGGCTTCAGCAGCCTAGGATGATAGGGCTCTGTGGGTAGGCAGCTCCTGGACTTGAGGCAGTCCGTCACCCAGTCCGGCGTTACTATAATAATGGCATTCTTGGGCAGCGCCAGCGCCTTGTTGTAGATGCCACCGTTGGCCGCCCCGCATACCAGATGCGTGTTGGTGGCCCCAAAGCTGTGCGTGACAACGGCGCCGTGGTAGGTAAGCATGGCATAGAGGCGCCTGCGATCCCCCGCCACAACATTTGTGATTGCCACCCGGATGCCGCGCATGAGGCGGAGCTGATTGGGAGATGGGTCAAAGGCCCGTGTCGAGGCCATCCGGCCCAGCTTGGCGCTATGCACGATCCATTGCTCCGTCACGGGTATTGCGCTGTACAGGTCCAGGTTCATAGACAGCTCCTCCTCCGAATAGTTGGTGGCGCATATCAGATGTGTGATTGTGTCCGACAGGAACAGCTTCGATTGGGCGCCGCCGCTCTTAAGGAAGCGTTCGATCTGCAATTGGAATTTTTTTTTTTAGAATAAAAACATATTGTTTGTTTTAATTGCCATCCTATAAGACTTTAGCAGCTGATCAAGTGCTATAAACTTTAAGACGTAAGGATTATAGGAACTCCGCGTGCCCGAACTACCCTGTGTGTAGTATGAGGTGTTGTGGTCTGCGGCAACATTATTGGCGCGCATTGCTCCGGGGCACCCTGTGTGTGCACTTACACAGGCACAGCCGCACGCACAAATACTAACACACACGCACGCACGGAGCACCATGCAAGTACAGGCAACAGCGGCCGTCTCTTTACCTCTTCATCCAGGTTGCCGAGCACATAATATATCACATCCTCGAAAAGTTTGTCGCTTATCTTGAGGTTCTCCATGGCTCCGCCCTAAGATACTGCAGTTCCGCTTCTCCTGTGGCGTTAATTTCACTTTTGCTTTTGTTATTGCTGCTGCTGCGACCGCCGCTTGGTGGCCATCTACATTTCACCGTGTTTTCGACCGGTTGGCGGGGTTCTGAGCTGCACGCAAAGGCCTATAAACAGTAACCGGCACGGTGCTAGTTGCGAAATGCACTTTAATTGCCACTAAGAATGCTAAAATTACATTTAAATTTAGGTTTCCTCTAATCAAGCAATGGCGAACAGTGTGACCGAACCGGAGAAAAATAATGAAAACAATCGTGGAAGGTTATCGAAAACAATATTGCCAGATCGCTATGTGGCCTTTTACACAGAACTCTCGTCGATATCTTAGCCAGCGGCGCCGATTTGAGAAATATGTAAAATATTCAAAAGTTGGCGGAAATTACAAAATGAAGATCATTTTTAAAAACCAACATTTAATTCTTGTTTAAAGCTCTAGACTTTGTCCGAAAAGTAGGAATGGTCAATTGCCTAATTAGTGCTTCCGCATTTTCCAGGATATAGCAATTATATGTATATTTAACAACTTATAAACATTTTATTTCGACTTTTCTGCCAAACTAGATTTCTGTAATTTTAAATTAGTTGCCAGGCGATTTCAATAATCAATTAAGATGATTGCCACCCAGGCATTTATCAGTTGAACAAACACTTGAATTCAATTGTTGATTTAGCGTCCCAGGAAATCAACACATTTTTAAGTAGCACGTACATACAATTTATTTTAGCTCAATACTGGGGAAGTTATCGTCGCTCTGCTTCATTTACAAATCGATTCTAACGCTCGCCCTGAAAATTGAATATTCTGCAAGCAGCAACCTATTCGGATGTTTACAAATGTGCAAGTTCTTTCAACTGCCTATTATTAACATTTATATCATACTTTAAAAAGTTCAGAGACGAGCACATCATAAATTATTGACGGAATCCCACTTATTCACGGAGAACAATGCTGTATGGCTGTGGCTCCAACTTAAATTTATTATGCTCGTAATACTTATAACTACGCACGATCAGGATAAGTTATGTTAATGTTACACAGATAAAGATATATATATAACTGTTTCAATAAAGTTCGCGCTGCACCCGCAGGCTCACCACCTCCTAAGCTTCGCTTCTCAGGCCTGAGAGAAGTACTGAAGAGACGGGACCTTGAGATTGATTGGCCACTAGCAAAGGCGAAGGAAAGAGTGTGCCGTTCGGGTGGTGCTTTAAGTTTACGGGGGAACTACAAATTCTGCTTTTTTTGTTTCTTTTCTGTTTAAATTTCCGCGAAATCCGGCCAGCAGCCATCTTAGTATTAAGGTTTTCTTTAAAATTAGGTATAGAGCATTTAAAGTGGGAACGGGGGTAAACTGGCTGCAGTTGAGGTTGTGGGTGTAGTGTGGAGGCGTGACGAGGTGTGATGAGTGAATTAGCTCGTCGCCGGGAACTTGTTACATGGTTGGATGATCGAGGTTTTGCGTGCCGGCACGGTTTCTGGCGTGGGAATCGCCTCCCCGGTGGTCACCTTGTTGGCAAACACTTGCTTAACACCGCCACCCTTCTGCTTGGCCATCTGGTAGTCGCCCGAGTCGAAGAATTTTTGCTGCGGGAAGAATTTTTTTTTATAATGTAGGTGGATTATCTTAAGCTCTGAAGGTCGGGTGCTAGAGCTGTACTTTGGCACAGAACTTGTCTAGATTTTGTTTCGGTAAGCTGGATGATGACCCTTAACACTCACCCCTTCTGCAGCCTTTTCTGGAGAAAGGCAGAGTGCCCACCGGGCACCCGCATTCCGCTGGGATACTTGGACTTTAACTTCTCCTCCTCGAGCTTCTCCAGATCCGTAAGATTTGCCTTCTCATTGGGATCGTTGTCCTGGGGCGTGGTGGCCGGGCTATTGCTGTTTTCCTCCGCGGAGCTCATCGTGGATGGGTTTACCTTTGGAAGCGATGGGAACGAGTGAAAAGTTAGCGATCGTCCGAAAATATGGCGACAGAGCTTTTCCAAACAAAAGCGAAAATGGAATGGAGGAAGGGAAAACGGAATCGGATTCGGAATCACAAGGGTAACGAAACGCAGAGGCGCGCAAAATGCCAAGATAAAATTGCATTTCATCACACACACACACGCGCGCTCGCACACCAGCTTAGATATCCAGGGCAGGCGCACGCACACTGCTAATAATATATGGACGCGAATTATTATAGTAATAATCGGATGAGCAAATATTGTTTTAATTTTTTATGCACACCCATACGCAGGCGATAAGGCGCTTGTATGTGTGCAAGTGTGTACAGCGTAGTTGCTCACCTTTGCCTATTTGTTCGACGCGTAAAATTTGACGATTAACTGTTGTTTTCCACCTCCTTTTGTTCTCCGCTTCTCCTTTTGCGTCTCCCTCCCTGGAAATCGGATTTACCAATTAGCGGGCCGAATTCGGTGCTAGCTGCTATTCGCAAGCAATCGGGGCAAATGCTCGGATTATAAACACAATCAGGCTGGCTGACACACGATTTATATGTTTATTTGGGATTGACTGCTTTTTTCAAGGCGATTCTACAATAAAAAATAATTTTAACACTTTACAGACGCGCTGGGAGATGATGCAAGCAGTGTGACCGCAGTTCAGCCGAAAAAACTATACCGACAAAAATATACTCAATTAAACCGATAATATACCAAAAAGCGATAGCACTTTGAATACTAGTTTTGAACCACAAGAATTCCAGCATGTTATTTATTTTATTCATGTTATTTTATTTCTTTATTTGATTAGCTTATTTGTCCATTTTTTTTCTTCCTATCATTAAATTGTTTATTATTTATTTGTTTATTTTAAATGACTGCCATTGAATGTTGGTAGAAATCAATCCTCGAAACTTATGTCTTGTTGTATAGAGTTGGTTGGTATTTTATCACCGAGAACCTTTCCATCTTATTAGACTAGCGGCTCCTGGTAACACTGCCACGATTGTTTCAGCTGTTTTGCTAATTTTTTTTGCCCTGTGTTCTGTGTGTAAATTGTTATAAGGATATAAAACGAGGATTCGCTGGTTCCACACACACGCACACACAGCCAACTGATCCACCGACCACGCCCACATCCGACGCAGCAACATGAGCTCCAAGGACAAGGCCAAGTTCAAGCTGTTTCTGAAAACGAAACCGGCAGGTAACAAAGAGTTCGGCGCACTCTTATTGGACACAAAAATAAAACATTACCGATGCTTACATTTACCCGTTACGCAGGATACGTGGGTGAGCGGACCCTCCGGCCAGAGTTTGAGAGGGAACTACGGCCGGAGCAGCCGGTGGCGGAGCGATGCAGGATGCTAAAGGAGCTAGGCGACATGTATCTGCACAGCTTCAACCTGGATGAGGTGCGTGGTGGCAAGAGAGTAAATGCCTAGAATACTGCTCATTTCCCTCCTTTCAGACGTCCATCACTATTCTGTTTAATCTCACCAACGATCTCATCGTGCCCAACAAGCCGGCCGATACGCGCCAGATTGCGTTGAGCTTCTACAAGCGACTAATCCACACACAGTACAAGAACCTGACCATCATGCGGGAGAAGTTCTTCCTGGTCATTCAGAACCACGAGGCGCGCGAGGATCTGCGTCACCTGCTTGACCTGCTCGACACACTCACCGACAATGGGAAGGACATCACCAACTTCGAGGAGAAGGTATGCGATTGACTGCTAGCGTAAAAATCTAACTTCATTGATTAACTTATTGGTCTCTCCACAGATTGGCAAGTTTATGCTGCTTTGGATCCCAGCGATCACTGAGGCCAATCTGCTGAGCCCCTATCTTGACATGCTGGTCAATCTGATCAAGTTCAATGCAGCCCATCTGGACAAGGACATTCTCGTGGGAATCGTGCAGTGGGTGACGATGATGTGCTTATTAATGAAGCAAGTATAACATCCAAGCGTTCTGTTTTTCCGAAGGAATGCCTGCGAACTTAGCTGCAGCGTTACGGTTGATGAGATTGGCCTACAGTGCCTGACAATCCTGGAGATGGTCATCGGCTACACCATCTTTCCCAGCGAGCCACTGCCGCAGTGCATCACAACCTTGTGTCGAACGGTCAATCACGCGCCCTATTGTCCGGCCTCATTTAAGGTGAGTCGGGAAGGTTTTAAGCTATTTTTGTACATTAAGGCCCTATTCTACAGATATTCTGATAGATGAGTTACTTCCCTTAACCCCTTTTTAATTGCATTATCTAAATTATTCTGAGGTTAAAATCGCAGTTGTACATGTCCATGCTGCAGTTTGTGTTTAAGATATATATTTTTATAAATTTCTTACAAGTAACTGATTATAGCGAGACGAACTTTGACGAAAACTTGTCGTAGTTGCTAACTCCTTCCCGTTCATGTAGCGGATGCGGCGGCTGCTTGGCATTGACCTCTAATGCTGGCAAGCTTAGATCTTCAGACGACTCTTGCTCCAACTCCTTTACATTAACTTCCATTTCTTGCTCCTCCTTATTCGGCTTCACCTCTTTGTTTTCCACCTTTGTGGAAATGTTGCATTCGCTTTGCCGATCAAGACTGCACAAACGATGCACCACATCAAAGTACTGATCTCGGGGACAGCGCATTTCAATCACCCTCATCCTGGCACAAATATAGTATCTCTGACAGTCACGACTATGTGGCGCCAGACGACTTCCTGTTCGTATGCATTCGTCCAAAGCCAGAGCCTTCTCGGACAGCATCAACTGCGGCGGCATTGTGGGCTTCTCTAAGCAGATGCCCGTGTGATCTGGCAAACAGGAGCCCACTTTTGCCTCAAAGTAATCCCCGGGGGTGCATTGCTGCAACACAGCCTCTCCCGACTGGCAGCGGAAGTAGGTCTCGCAGTCATTAGGGTTGGCCAAGGTGGAGTTATCCGGCAGCACACAGCTGCACTGATGAGCGGCCGTCACGGTTACGGGAAGGCAGGCTTTTCGGTTTGGATCAAAGTAGTTTCCGGCAGAACACTTGGCCACAGCATAGGCACCGCCGGACAAGCATTGCTTGTAGAGCGAGCAATCGTCTGAAACTCGTTCAACATGGTTTATTGTGTCACAAGTGGGGGTGGAGTGATCATCAGAGCAAGCGCCGGGCAAGCATATCTTCAGTTCCCTGCTAAAATGGTATTCCGCTGGACAGCTAAACTCCTGGAAGGGTACTTCCTGGTCACCGGTGCAGACATAGAACCTCTGGCATTGATGCTCGTGTGGTAGCATTTGCCAGGGCTCGGAAATCTGGCAAAGAGCTGCGATATCCGGCTCCGCAATGAGCGATTCCACTACGCTGACGGCCAGCAGAAGGCCAATTAATAGAAGTTGATCTGGGCAGAAGTGGATAGGTTTATTAATAAAATCGAATCCAATGTTTAGGAATTCTTCTAGGAGACCACTCACTTTCCATTCTCCGTAGGATGTGCGTTTATTTTTGAAGAATCCGTCGAGTGCGGTGATGATATGGGGCTGCTTCGCTTTTTATGCCCTCGCTTTGGCTGGGGATTTATCAGCTCATTTGGCAATCGCTGGCAGAGATTGGCTCTGACATTTTCCTATTAATACTAATGAGAATTCTGCTCAGTGTGTATCTGGCTTGATACTCCCCCTGACTTGCTCTTATCGTTTAACATGCCTTTTCCGTTAGATGATGATTAGCCCTACTCCCAAAAGGTGATCATTGAATTTGTGATTTTTAGTGGAAAAACACAATTTCAAGGTCTTTAAGATGAGAGGGGCGATGACCCAGTTCTCTGGGTAGTGACCTCGGTTCATTTTATCTCTAGATATTACCAGCTCCGAAAGAGTTTGGCATCTCGAAGGTTTCACAAAATCGAACTTCGGATCGTTTTACTTACAGATCATGAAGAACCTGCTGGGCACACAGCTGGGCTATCATTCCATGAAGATGATGTGCAGCATCCTCAACGATCGTGCCCTCTACGACGACGCGCACATGCTTCGCGGTGCTGTTTTCCACCTGAACATGAACATCTTCGGATCGAACATTATTTTTCAGGTTTCACCTATGACCTATGCCACGAATGTGCTGACAGCCTTCCTTCGGGTGAGCAGATATGAGATTCTGTCTAGTGCATCGGGAGAGAGACGCTAATCCGTGTAATTTTTAGGCTCTCGACAGTCGACAGGTTATCGTTACCTTTGAGGTGATCCTTAGCGTTCGCATGGTGATTAACAAGCAGCAGCTTTCTGAGATCATTTGGGATCGCATTTGCGACATAATGTCGGCAATCGTCAGCAATATCGAATACTATGAGGCGACCAACATCAACAAGGACCGACTGCATCATTTGCAGATCAATTTTCATGAGAACATCGACTGCATAGAAAAGCTGTTGCAGCAGGATCGGTCCCAAATTCTGGGTAATGTCGAACGCATCTACGATCTCATCGAGCGGGTGGCGGATCGACGACCAGAGGCCTCAGTTCTGGCCCTAATCGAGTACCGATCGAAACGCGTGACGGCTACGCGACCGGAATGGCTTCAGGTGCTGGCCCAGTTCGTGCGTCGTTACTATCGCATGTCCAATGTCGATGTGCGTATCAAGACCATAGAGGCGCTGGTACGGATTATGGACCAGAACCGTGCCTGCTACGAGGAGGAGATTCTCAGTAGGGTGGTGCTCGTCCTGCTGTCCAACATCCATCTGGAGCCAAGTGTTCTTGTCCGCGTGGCTGTCGTTCGTGCTCTAGCTAACTTTGCGTCGCACTGTGATACAAAACGATGTATGGACCTGCTGGACATCCTGGAGGCGCTCATCAACCGACCATTTGAGCATACCCGACATGCGTCCTCGGGAGCGAGCGACACTGAAGATATTATAGCTGCCGTCGATGGTTTGGTCAAGGTATTCGCCATTAAGCTGCACCGCATGCCAGCGGCCCACGCCCTCAAGATATTTAACATTCTGATGGATCACTTGGAGCTACATTACGACCGGCCCAAGATCTTTCAACAGACTAGCTTGGTGCGATTTAAAGTAAGTAAAGATACGAAATACTACGCCAGTAAGACTCTTCTGTATTTCAGAGATAAAAGAAAACGAACTTCCTTTGATCTGAAATGTATTATTAACTTTGATTTCCTACACACTATTATAGATCTTCACTTGGCTGCTCCAGGCCCGTGCTAATGGCTCTTACCACATTGGTTATCCGGAGGGCGACACCGATGTGGTAAAGTTCAGTCACTATCTGGGCATCGATTCGCCATTGTTGCCACAGGCTCACGCCACAGCCATCTCTACGCGTCGAATGTGCAAGCTGATTGTGCGCTGCCTAGAGCAGGATACCGACTATTTGGTGTTCCAACTGGTCATCCGGAAGCTGCCAAAAGTGCTGCAGAACAAAGCACTGGTTCAAGGCAACGATATAGAGGAAATGGCCAACACACTCCTCAAAATTACCTCGGTGACCAATAATAAGTTCAAGCGGCCCACCGACGAATTTCATGCCTTGGTCCTGCCCGCCATCGCCTCGCTGGTCATCTACCATGAGAGCCTGCAGCCGCCGCAGCACTATGGAATTATTACGGCCCTTAATTCGAGGGTTCTCACCGGCGTCGCTAGCGTCTGCATCAACACGATGACGATTCTGATACTGGAGATGCCTGAGGCTCTGATGCGAAAGTTGCCAGCCGTATTGCTGCAGATGAGCAAGATGTCCGACACGAATGCGCTGGCCACTCCGGTTCTGGAGTTTCTGTCGCGTGAGTTAATAGACCAGCGAAAGTAAGTCACATTTGTGAATTCAAATTGGTTACTTGTGTCCTTTGCAGTGCTAATTCACCTGTCCAAACATCTCTTTGCGAACTTCACAAACATGCACAACATGTATGTGTTTGCCATCACCCTTCCATATACGAAGCCACATCGCTACGATCACTATACAGTGTCTTTGGCCCACCACATCATCGCCGGATGGTTCCTAAAGTGCAAGCTAGAGCTGCGCAAGAACTGCGTTAACTACATCAAGAACGTAAGCTGGCTTGGGTCTCTGTTATAACTAACTATATATACATATATATATATTCTGATTCATTCCAGTCGATTCAGTCAAATGCCAAGATGCTATCTAGCGATATTGTGAATCTGAATTCCCTCAACGAGGACTCGTCCAATAGAAAGCGAAGCACGAGCCTCACAGAAGGCGGTAGTCGCAACAACGCTAATGCGTGGAATGACCTGGAAATGCGACCGCAGATGAACAATGGACTGCGCAACATCCATGCCGAGCTGGCGGAGACCTGCTTTGACTTTCTGGCCCGGCACACCTACTCGCCCTGCCCGTCGATGCCCAAGCGGTGAGTTTCTACCATTCTTACTTGCTGCAGTCATTCCAAACACTATCTTTTTGTAGTCTTCCTGCCGCCGAATATCTGCTGAAGGATGGTGCTTCCCAGACCTGGCTTGTGGGTCACAATCTGGTGACCATAACCACTTCTGGTTGCCCATCGGCCCCGACGCGCAGCGGTCTCTGCGAGCGTTGCGCTCAATTGGGAAAGGCACCCAGCATAAGCCTGAACTCCAAGAGTTTGAGTGATGCTTCCGCAGCTCCGCCCCTGTCGCCGGAACGGGAGAGACGCTACACCAAGGTGAGCCTGCAGCACAGCAGCGGCAACGAATCGGCGGGCAGCACCGAGCTGACTTCCTCTTCGTCCTCAAACTCGGCAGCTACAGGCGGCCATCCGCACCGACAGATCTCCAACAGCTCCACCGCCTCTCTAGACGCGTTGTCGCGTCGTGGCTCGAACCCCGAGGCCATGGGCAGCGGTGGACTTGGTGAGGAGGGACCACATACTGGGAGCAACACATCGCTCCTTGGAAACTCCTTGTCGCAATCCTCGGTGAGCATGAGTCCATCGTCAGGGGGATCGGTGGTACAGCAGGCGGTTTGTGTGCGCTCCTGCACTGGCTGGGCGGAGATTCTCATCCGTCGGCCAACTGGTAATGTCTCCTGGATAACCCGCATTCAGAATCCTATTACCAACGACTGCTACGGACAGGATCTGCCCTTCAACAACGTTGTCTCGCTGTTTTTGCCCACGGCGTATGGCGGAGTATTTGGACCGGACACCACCACCGTTCAGCAGACTCCATCTCATCCATTGATTGCAGATCCCGAGACAGAACCGGAGGCAAACCCATCTGCTGCTCCTGCACCGCAAGCGGCGAGTGCCATTCGCAGCCGGATGGTGGCTAAGGCTCGTGCCCTACAGCGACAGGAGGAGATCCACTCTGTGGGCGGCGGCAATGGCAATGGCAGCGAAAGTGGAAACGGAAATGGTAATGGAAATGCATGCAGTAGTGGAGCCGCAGCTGCCATTCCTATTCCACGGGTTTCGGCAGCCGGAAAACGAGGTAAGGAGGCTGCTCTCTGCGGGAGTGTAAGCGACGGCGAAGCGGACGACGATTCGCTGGCCTTCGAGGATGCTCAGAGTCGCTCTCGGAATCCTGTTCGTCGGGTCAACTCCAGTCCGGAGATGAGTTCTAGCTGGCGGCAGTCCTTTTTGACCAACAAGCCGATGCCACTGTCCCAGGAGCCCGTAAAGTCCGCCGTCGATGAACCGCAATCGCAGCTCACGTTGAAGAAAAAGAGCGTCCAATACAGCCCCAAGGATATGCGGGTTAGCTGCGAGGCCATACCGGAGGAGATAGCCGGTTCTACGCCGCCCTCGGCTATACAGGCCCTGCAGCCAGAGAGTGGAACTCTGCCGCCCAAGCAGCATTCTGCGGACGATGTGAGCAGCCATGTAGCCGGCGGCAACAGTAGCACCCTGCAGGCTGGTGGAGGATCTACATTGAAACTGGGAAAACCGCCGCTTTCGCCTGGTCAGCTGCCTTTGCTGGCGGCGGGAAGATTGACCAGCTTTGGTGGCACCTCTGTTCCGCAGCCCGGTGCTCTGGCCAATTCTAATAGCGGTGGCGGCGGTAGCAATGGAGCGAATGTCGGGGGCGTGATACCCTCTGATTATGACAACGGCAACAATGGCAACGGCGACATGATGCGCGGGCGCTCGAAAACTATATCGGGAATACCAAGCAATGGCAGTGGTGCCTGTCCGCCCCCGGCAAGCAGTTTCCGGAACTTTGGAACTTCCAAGCCGCCCATCAACACCAAGCTGTGCATGAATCCCAGCTTCGTGTTTTTGCAGCTTTATACCACCGGACAGCTGGGCGTCACGGATGTCCCGCTGAAAGTGGGCCCGGAAAATGCTAGCGCTGTGAACCTGATCGATTTGGTTCCGCCATTCGAGACGCACAAGATCGGCGTGCTGTACGTGGGCCAGGGACAGTGCAACAACGAGGTGGAGATCCTGCGCAACTCGCACGGCAGCTCTAGATATGTGGAGTTCCTCCGCAACATCGGCACCTTGGTCAGCCTGAAGGAGGCCGAGCAAAACAACCTGTTTATTATGCTGGACAGGAATGGAGCTGATGGCAAATTTGCCTACATTTGGAAAGATGACATACTGCAGGTCGGTAGTTTGTGATTTTAGATTCTTTGCAGCATGTTTGCATTGTAGCCCTTGTGGTATTATTCTACAGGTCACCTTCCATGTGGCCACATTGATGCCCACCAACCTGCAGGATGATCCCAACTGCAACTTGAAGAAGAGTCATATTGGCAACGACTTTGTTAAGATCATCTACAACGAGAGCGGCGAGAAATATAATCTAAACACCATATCCGTGAGTAATATATTTTGAAATGTAAACGAAGGTTGCTCAGCATTGAGATTCCAATTTTTAGAGCAGTCTCACTTAAAACTACCAATCTGTAACATTAAGGTTTCCGTTTTAGATAAAATATAATTAATGTAAACAAATTTTGATCTTTTACAGGGACAATTCAACTACGCTTGTGTAATTGTGGAGCCACTTGAGCTAAACTCCAATAGAGTGTATGTGAAGGCACGCTCAGAGATATCAAAGTTCGTGTGCCACCCAGAACCCAGGATCGTCTCCGATCGCAGTGCTCCTCTGTTGGCGCGACAAATGGCTCTGCACGCCAATGTGAGTTACCGTCAAAGAGTCTAATTAGTTCATTGATTTGATTATTTTTATCACGTGCAGCTCGCCTCGCTAGTCTACCAAAGTGTGCAGAAAAAGCATCCATATGCATCAAATTGGCTAGAACGATTGCGCAAACTCAAGCGCCTGCGATCAAAGGTGAGCTAACCCACTATATATACATATATAGAACATATATTTATGGGAATTATAAAACATAATTTGTTTAACAGCTGATTGAGGGCCTGAACAGCCAGCAAAAATCCGGCAGTGCTTCGAGCGGCATCGGAGTCAATGCTGCCACGTCCATAGGCTCGGATATTAATGACCAACGAGGGGACTTTATCAGATTCACATAGACGACGACAACAACGAGATAGAGAGAGGCTCCAAACTGAAGAATTCCCCCAAGGGAGACTCATCCTGCCATGGATCCCTCTTGATTTTTTAATTTGGATAATCTGAATTGTGCAAGCACCCAGCAGACCAACAACAGAAGTCTCTGCCTGTAATCAATAATCACGAAAATAATAATTATATATATTCATAATGAATTTGACAAGTTTATAAAATTTGTGAGAAATACATAAATAAGCGCTGTTCTTTCCAAAACACTATTCGTATCCGATTGGATGTTTTTTACGATGCTTTTGGGTCTTTATACTTCGAAAATAATTAAAATTACAACTTTTTAGCATAATTCCCTATACTTCTAGTACAATTAATTGTTCAAAACTAATTTATTTCTTTGTCTTTTGTTTGTTTAATTCTTTTGAAGGAACATCACGTTATGCTGAGTGAATTTATATGATCGTAACCGAATCCCTCGATCTTGCGACTCGCAATGCGGTTGGCATAGTCCACAGCTTCCCTTAGACACCGTTGATCCTCAAAAGTGGCTTTTATAAATCCCGCCACGAAGCTGTCTCCTGCGCCCAAAGTGTCCACCACTTTCTCAGGCTGATAGGAAGAACACTTATGGAAGTTACCACTTGAATCGAGACACACGGCTCCGTCACTGCCCCATGGACAGATAATTATGGGTTTTTTGCTTCCATTACCGGAAATGTCGGCGGCCAGCTCTTGACAAGTTTGCTGCGGCGTCGTCCAGCCCTTGTCGGTGGCCAGCTCCTTGGAGAAGATCACATAGTCGCAGGGATGACATAGTTCCAAGTTCTGATCGTACCTCGTCTCAAAGTCCAGCGAGATAAAGGTGCGTTGCCCTGTTTTCCGGTCGTACTCCCGGATGCTCTGCATCATCTTGGCGGTGTGTGTCGTGTTGCGAGCCTCAAAATGTACCCATCCGTAGTATGAGAGATCGATCTTGATGAAGTCCTCCCACGTGGTCTGCGGATAGTCCTTATTGCAGTGGATAATGGTGCGGGAGCCGGTGTCCTGTGACAGTATCACCGATGAAAACGGGGGATCCCTGCTGGTCAGGGGGCAGTTCCGAGTGCCGATCCCTCGTCGCCGGAGATCTTCGAGGAGCACACGAAACGCATCCGAACTGCTCAGAATGCCAAAGAAGTCCACTTTGGTGCCGAGAACTCTGAGCGTTGTGCTAACATTGGAGGCATTGCCGCCACGTTGCCAGAATCCATCCAGGCACCGACGATCGGTGTCCTCCTTGGGATAACTCCCGACAATGGTCACAAAGTCAATCACGGTGCAGCCCACACAAAGTACAGACTTTTTCTGGTTCATCTTAAATTATACACTGTCCCAGTTTCCTAAATTTAAATGTTATTTAATGATTTATTAACAAGGTTAAAGTTCACGTTTCTAATTCCAGGCTTACAATTTATTGCTACTATTTATATGTTTTTTTTTTTACCGCTTGTTGGTAATCTAATACCTAACAATTCGAATTTCGAATCAATCAAAGATTTCGAGGGTTTACCTTAATTTGCTCTAGTTTTTTTTCGAGCTCAATCTAATCGAAAGGTTAATTTGTACCTGCACTACTGGTATTTATTGTCGTTCGTGTTTCACATATGTTTTTGTTTTTAATTCTTCTTATCGCTTTGGTAAGAGAACACCTAAGAGAACCCATGGGTTGAACCCACGATCGCAGAGAGAAGTGCTCTCAGTATCAGTGTGACCGATTTGAGGGAGCATTATAATATTACATAGCTTGGAAAATTACAAGTAACCACAACTAATAAATAAATATAAATCAATCAAACGACATTTGTAAATAGGGGTTATTAAATAATTTTAGTTTAATCTGGAAGTTTTAAATAAAAATTAGATGGTTGATCACTAATATATTTACTATAGGTGAAATACCCCTTTCTACCAATTTCATACACTCTCTGAATTCTGTTCATAAGTTTATAGTATGATTAAAAGCTTCAGAGCTCCACTTGTCGAACTTTGGTAATCAAAAAACTAATCATATATGAAACTTCTTTGCCTCAGTTGGCATAACTACACACTATCCCCAAAATATATTAAGTGGAAAACTTATTTCTGAAACACAGACCAAGTTCGACGGCAATCTTAGTAAATTAAATTCACGAGTAAATTCTGGCTGGCAATGGAAATTAGAACAATTTGTTTGGAATGCTTTATAGTCACACCCCAGCACATCCGTGCAAAATGACGGCGCACAAATTAGCGGATGCCATGACTAGACACACATGGAGCTCACACACGGCACAGCTCAGCAGACGCATGTGGCAGCTCCGTCAACCACAACAGAGAGCTCTCCACGGTCTGTGGCAGAGGAGCTGTCATCCAGGAGGCGGGATTGATCCACGGTGACTGCGTCGAGTTGTCTAGTCGGTCGGCATCCGCAGAGATTGATTGGACATTAAATTTCGTATTCTGTCTACAAATCAAGGTACAGCTAGGGCTGACCTCCTTGGCAAGTCACGAAGTTTATATGAAAATTCGATCCTGTCAGCAGCTTTAGTTTAAAGTCTATTCTCAAGAACTTATTGTAAAGAATCTGAAAACAAATATGTTAAACTAAAACAATACTCTCAGTTAAGAAGCTTAATATTTTTGTATGCTATATCGGTAAACCAAACAAATGAAACTTCATAAATAAAGCCAAAAACGTTGGCTACTTAGCACCACCCATTTTACGTGAGTTTAAGTGCTCCCATTGAGGAGGAGAAGAGGGGCAGAAACTTCAAGAGGGCCAAGTCAAAATTTTGAAATTAATGTAAAGCGTGTCATGCCTGGCCTAAATACTCCCCTCGATTCCCGGACTCGCTTCCCAACGCAACATAAATCGATATCTCTCGACATTGGCTGCGCGGGGTAAACACTTTCTTGGGGGTACCCAGAGCACCATTTTGTGGCGTGGAATTATGGCCGGAGTGTCAATCAGTGTAAACGTTCTTAATAGGTATTTATTTTTGCCATTTTAATTACCCCGCCCCGCTGCTTAACGCCTTTCTGCCCACCTTTCGCCGTTGGACAAACAACGAACCGATGGAAACGACTGATGATGATGGCTTAATTACTTTCTCGAGAAAAAGAACTCATTTCCGAGGGAATTTAGTCCATGTAAAAGTATGTATGTATATTGGGTGTGTTTATTAAAGATATACCGTTTAGCTATTTATAATCGATTTAAAAAACTGATTAGTTGACAAGGTAATGTGATTAATGCGTGATATTTTTGATTTCTGCTGCATGATTTGGTTTGCCTTTGGGTTATATTTATTATTAATAGGTTTAGGAAGAACTTTCCCAGCGATGGAACTTTAAGCCTGACTGCGACTATTTATTTTCTCAAAAATAAAGATTTTTTGTTTTGTCAACTTGCTGACACCTTTGGAATTTCTATACTGGTAAGGAAGGACATAAATACTGTGGTGTCAAGATACAAATAAATTGCTGATATTAACCAAGTCTGAAGAGACAAGGTCTCTTGTATACAATTTGCTCTTGCCAAAAACTAGTTTAGTATTCATTTGATAAGTTATTATAGTTTAGAGAGGTTTCAGTAAACCAGAACCCACTGTATTTGGCTGCGATTGGGGGATTATCGAGTGCGTGCTGGTTTTAGTTAACGAATTCAACATTTTCCATTGAATGGTAAAGTGGCAAGTGGCACCAAGGCCCAGAGCAACTGTTAGCACAGACTAGCTTCGGTAATCGCACACCGGAGAATTCCGGAACTGAACCTGGTAGATGAGGGTCTATCAGGTGGAGGGGGCTTTGGGTGACTCCAACTCACCTCCAAATGTGTTTCCATTCAACGCATGGATACGTGATTCTGTTTTAGCCTCGATCCGAGGCAGCTTCTGTAAGTTGTTTACTACAATTTCCCTAAAATTTGCAGTTAAGTTTATTATTCTAGAGTTTGTGGAAAATATTATAGATATTTTATTTTTAGACTTGGAAACCAGGTTGTTGTTTGTTGCTTTTGATACAATATTATTGCACAGCACATTGTATTATTATAATTGTGATTGTCACCTTAACACTTCCCCCTAAAATACTTTCTAAAGATACTTTTATAATTACATTTACAAAATACTCGTATGTTACTTCGCGTGCCTTCCCTTAAGATAACTAAATAAATTGAGGGTACACTATTAAAATTTGTATTACTTAAATATTGACGTACAAAATGAAGCACTTAATGTTTGCCACAGGCATTCCCACTCGATCGGCTTTGCCGGATATTAACTGCCTTTTTCCGTCTGGAATCGATCATGTGGCATACCACCTCCGACAGCTTTCGAAATGCAAGTAAGCCGGCTGTGCCGATCGAGAGGTCCAGATGCCGGAAGCGATCGATGTTGCAGGTACAGCCATCGAACAAAAAGAACCACGTGGACTCTGATCCGTGATCGGAGTCGGGAGAGTGCTTGAAGACTACGTAGTTGCCCCACGGCGTCATCGTGAGCACCCTGTTGGCCACCTTAAAAGCGGAGCCCAGCAGCCGATTCAGGCTCTCCACGGTTCCACTCTCGGACCCAGCGACGGCCAGGAGCTGTGGCTCCCGATTGTAGCCCGGATACCGAGTCAGGGAGTCCCTACTTTTCAAGGGATTGCACCGGCCTGCTTTGCGGAGCTCTGAATTTGATTTCTGGAGAGGAGCTTGATCTGCTTGGCGGCCAGTTTCTGATGGAACAGTTTTCGGATTGGATTTTTCAATGTATTGCGTAAGGATGTCTCCAATGCTTGTCTGCGGGGATATAGTTTTTGGCTTGGTTATGGATTTGTCCTCCGGAAATGAGTATCCTTCACTAGGCATTGAAACCCCGATGCAGGCATCCCTTTGCGAGATCAAATTTGAGGCTGTCACTTTGGTGCCTAATCGTATAATAGTTGTATCCTTTAAACACCAGTTGTCCTTAGATTCCTTGGCGAAATCGGATCTTCCTTTGGAAGTGGCAGCCGATTTTGCTAACGCCTTGGCGCCACCTTTTTGCCTCTTCGAATCAGTTTCATATATTGTATTTGGTTTTCTGGTTAATTCCACAGGTTTTTTAGCCGCTCGACTATGAGATCTGTGCTTTGACTCTTCAACTGAGACCACCGATTGTTTCATTTCCTTAAATATTTCTTTTAGTTTCTTATCAAGCCTCTGATTCTCAATTTTATGAGTTTTATTGCTTTTCTTTTTGATTTTTAGACTCTTGGTTCTGGATTTGGAAACTTCCTGCGTGGGGATAGGGGCTTTCTGGGATAGGCAGGTGCAAGAACGTAGGGGGGTTCCCAGTATCTCATTCTCTGCTGCTCCTGCACACTGTCGCTCCCCCAAAATTTGAAATTCCTGAAGGTCAATTTCACAGTCTATGTCTGAATCATCCTCCATTTCGCATTCACAGTCGCTGATCTCTGCCAGACAATAGTCCTGCACAACCGCTCCTAGCTGGTCGCTGAACAAAATGGGTTCATTTATAGACTCCACATCACAGGTATCCATATCCTCGGGTGAAGGAGACGGAACAACATCCTGGGGGCACTCGGCGATATTACGTATACGCACCGCATGCAGAGAGTAGGCCGATTGCCCGTTCGATTGCTGGAGCAATTGGTGGAACACACTGAGCATGGTCAGCCGGTCGCGGAACATGCGAAGCGTGGCCCACTTGGCGTCCTTGCACTGGTCCTCCTCCACGTGGGTGCCGACGATGGTGTGCCGATAGGGATCGAGAAGGTAGTAAAAGTCATTTTTGATCCACATTGCGTACATCTGATTGTTTATCTGGAACACCACGTTGCCGAACCCCTCGAGGGCCTCCCTGATATTAACCTCGAAATCCATGCTAACGATGTCGAGGCATTTCCAATAACCCAATCTCACACCGGGCATTAGCTCGAGTTCCACGACGAACTGTCCCAGTCTCACTTGGGTGGGAAACGTGTCCAGCTTAATGGGTCGCAGCTCCTCCAAGCAATCGGACCAGCCGCTGGAGAACAGCTCCACGCCGTAGCAAATCAAACGATCCAGCATATTGGTATCCCAGTTTGCCGGGTGATCGATTTTGCTGGCCAGGATTGAGCCCACGGCCACCATTAGGCTGCTGCGATTCTTCACCGTCCCACCCTGGCCGAGAGAGAGGTGGAGATTGGCCTTCAGGTACGCATAGCTCTTGCTCACCACCTTGAATTCCACAGACCGATAGCTGGAGTCGCGCATAAAAATCCGCCCATCTGGGGTCCTTAGACGCACCAGCACCAGTTCGCGAATGGTAAAGGCATCCGTGGGCGTAATCCCACTCAGATGGCTGGCCAGGTAAACCACATTGTCGACGGTCTTCAGGCACACTAGCATGGCTACGCCATTGTCCTTGTCCCACCGCAGGTCATCCCTCCGTCTGCCCTTGACGTCCAGCACAAAGAACGCCTTTCTGCGCCGCCATATGAGCAGGTGACCCACCCGGGTGAGAAGTAAGCAATAGCGTCTGGACTTGAAGAAGGCCTGGAGAACGCACTTCAAATTCTTGATTATGTGCGGCCTGGTCGCCATACCAAGATAGCGAGACTCCAGAGCCATCGTGAAGGTGTGTCCTTCAAGAATAAAATTCCTTTTGATGCGCATCTCCGCTTTGGTATAAATCCCGGTCCCGAACAATTGGTTTCTCCCCAGATCATCATCGCTCGGCTGACTCGTTTCCGAACTGCAACGGAATAGTTCCATACCCTGCTGCAGCAACATGTCGATCTTCTCCGCAGTCCAGTCAACCTCCGGCAGGACATAGATCAAGGCGAAGGCTTTCAAGTAGGTGGCGAAATTTATAGCTGTTGCCTCCGCCTCCCGCATGGGATTCGCTATGGTCGCATTCGAGCAGACCAGGCCCACGGGACTGCCGAGGCAATCGGCCTTCATTGCAGAGCGACGTGGAACCTTCTCACAGAATCGCCAGTGGTCGCAGCTGAGTCCCTCCAAAGGAGCTGTGCTCTTTACTCGCCGACACCTGGGAGCAGAGAGATCAGTTAGGCAATCCCACAGTCGCCAGGTTGTATCTTTACACCCTACGTGTTGCTCCCTTGGCCTCTGGAGAACCGGGAACCGCAGCTCGACGTAGCGGCCAAACGGTGGAGACCATGTTGGGTGAACGACATCCTCGACTTAAGCTTCCGGCAGTCTGGACTTAGGCTCCGAACTAAATAAATAATATTTATATGGATTTTGTATATTTTAGGATTTACTGAAATTTAAAGTGAGTATTGTAGAAAAGAATTATAGGTGCCTAATTGAAATTATCAACATTATATGTCATGTTGAAATATATCAAAATAAATATGTTTTCCTCTAGCAGGGTCTTTCCAGTTTCGGTGACAATAATAAGAGTGTTTACATCTCTGGTAATAGCGATAGTAATTTCCTTTCGACCTTAAATGTATCACCTGACGTAGGCAATATATCTGGATAACCAGGAAGATGCTCACTTCGATTATATCCAATGATAATGCATAATTAAAGTTCTAAAGAATATAAGTCTACATTGAAAGGAATTAGGCAATGATGAAAAAGGAAAAGAGTGGGTCCTCTACTGGGGTAAGACTTAATCATGAAAATTATATCATGTATATAATGCAATAGAAGGATTCAGGCCTTGGTTTAGAACCAGCTTTGCTATCAGTTCATTTATTTGCAAATAAATTAATTACAAAATAATATAATACAAGTTTACGCTCTATGTTGGGCTCACCAAAAGTTGGATTAGCAATAATGGTTGGAGTTGTCTATATATTTACGTTATGCTTGTGAGATTCATATAAGTAAAGCAATCAGTTTCCAGATACAAGGGGCAGCGCATCCTCTTAAACGAGCTGGGTTCAATCCACTCGGATCTATATGTAGCCGCTGCGATAAGGAGGCTGCGACGCAAAAATAGCTTTCGTTATGGGCAGCTTTGCATACGATCAGTTAGTATAAAAGCCGACGTTCCCAGATCTACAGGTTGAGGTGACAGCAGTACCAGAAAACAGCAACTAAAAATGGCCAAGCTGACAGTGATCCTTTTCCTATTCGCCCTGTGCGCCGTAAGTTCGGTGTCCGATGTCCTGGAGCAGGATGCTGTGCGCTTGGAGAGGACTCATTTTATATTCTAACTTCGCTTTCAGGTGGCCATGTCCTCTCGCAACGCTGTTGAAGAGGCAAAAGAGAGTCTGGACAAAATAATACATGAGGTAAATTAGATAAAAACTTTTAAAAGTATATTACAAACAAATCATTTGATTTGCAAATATCCTTAGAGAAAGAGGCTAAGCAAATGGTTGAACGCTACGCAGATGTATAACTGAATTATTTTAAAATGACTTTTCTTTTTTTATAAAGAAGCATAATTAATATAATTTTAAACTCTCATCAGCTCGGATTCAATTTAAAATGATGAAATATCATATTAAGCCCATTGAAATCGATTTGAGTTTACTCATTTCTAGAGTGTTTAATACAAGTTTCGCTAAATAAATAATACACTCATACAAATATTTTTCTATAAGAGCACAAGTGCAAATATAATTTCCAATTGGTTCTAACATACCCGGCATGAACTGACGGTTGCCTATAAGCTTTAATTCTCTACTTTTATAGTTACTTACCCTTTAATTAACTAAATGTTTTCCTTAATTTATATAATAATAATGCTTCAATTTCAGGTGTTTGTGTCGCGCCAAAAGGAAGAGGTAGTTGATAAACTTAAACAACTTGACGGCAAATCTTTTAATCAATCTATTGAGATATTGGTAACCCCTATCGATAAATACTTTAAAAATTATATTACAAACGAATCATTTAATTTGCAGAAATCCATGAAAAAACGGATAAAAGAAGGATCCCAAGCTCACTGACACTTTATAAATAAATACACAAAAACTGTGAAACATCTTTCTATATATTACCATTTGGTTTAAAAAAATTGTTTTACCTATAAGAATACTCTGATTATACGGAAATTTAGTAGCTGTTTAAATGAAATTTATAATTAAAAAAAAATGTGTAAGCAATAAGGGAGAATATGTATTAGAATTATTCAATATTCAATATTTCAAACCTTGCCACCTACAGCACACTAAGCCCACGGAATTGTGCCTATGGTATAAACGAGGGAAATAAATTATATTTATCAATGGAACTCATAAATAATATTTATATACGCCTGTGACAGGGGATGGGCCATTCGCACACCTTGCTGACGTTGATTTTTGTGCCTGGGTGTCTGTCTGCCTGCCAGTATCCTGCCTGCTCCTTGCGGTTTTGGGGAGATGTGTCGTCGACGTCGAGCAAAGCCCACAAAGCATCAATCAAAAGAATTAAATACAATTATAATTGTCTGTCACCGTATCGAGATGAAAAGCCAGCCGCAAAGGATTTTCGAAGGCACGATAACTTTTTCCGGCGTGCAACTCACATACAAAATTTTACTGGCTGGGAAGTTTGTATATGTATATCACTCATACGCAGTGTGGCTCCATTAAAATTTAGTAACTAAGTTATATAGATAAATAATATATGAACCTGTAAACAATATCAGTTTATGACTTTATACGTTATGGTCTGTCCTGTTTTTTAAGTATTTCTAGGTTTCAAATTGATTCAAAAACAAAATATAACTCATACGCAGTGTATCTCATATGTTAAATATTAACTTACTCAGTTTTACACATTAATCAAGTATAAGTGTTTATAACGAATATTAGTCTATGACTTTATCTGTAAAGCTTTTCGAAGTTTTCTAGTTTAGATTACAAGTAAAAATATTACTCATACGCAGTGTAGATCATATATAAAATATTAAGTACTCAGTGTTATATATATAGATAAAATAGGAACTTGTAATCAATATCTATTTATGACTTTATCTGAAAGAATAATCCCAGTTTTTTCTGTTATTTTGAATTTTTATACTGATTTCGAATGAAAATATAACTCATACGCAGTGTAGTTCATATGGTGGAATATATGTGTAATGACGATTTTAAAACTATGACCAGTAATAAATTATAAGCAGTAAGTAACTATGATCAGTAATTAACTATGATCAGTAAGTATCTATGACCAGTAAGTATCTAGACCAATAAGTATGTAAAGGGAGCCATTGAAATAAGGAAATAAATTAGAATATAAAGTCTAGACCTAGGTCTGATACCACCAATAGCTTCTTCATACTTAATATAAATGTAATGGTTAAGACTTACCGCAGTAGAGGACACGTGGCTCTTTCGAAATTGCTTCCCAGTGCAGTGTCCAAGAATGGTGACTTCATCCAAGTTAGCTTCATCCTGGTCATCAAGATGTATTGCATTGGCCACGTCATATTTTTGGGATCGAAAGGTAGTCACTATCACTATCACTGCAGATGTTAACACTAGGTACCCCTAGGACAGACTGAGGCGCGCGCGACCTCAGCGCCTCTATTTATAGTCCCCGAGGAAAGAGAAGAGAAGAGAAAGTGAGTGTGAGAGCGCGGGAGAGACGGAGTTGCCTCTAGAGATATACATAGAGCGATAGACAACGAGAGAGAGGGGGAGAGGCAGAGAGAAACAGCGAGCAGATATTTAATTCAACTATGAGCAGAGCAGTAACTCTGATCGGTAACTTTAGCATGATCAGTAATTTTAGCATTACTTTATTTACTTTATAATTTATACTTAATTATTTTGTAGTGATCGAGTTTCAATCTGCAAGGGTATTTAAGCCTCGGCGTGCCGAAGTTAGCTTCCTTTCTTGTTTTTAAATAATTATTATTATTATTTATTATTTAAATAATATTCACATCTATCATTTAAGGACCATCCATTAAATCCTGTAAAGCCAACTTCAGACTTCAAGCGATAGTAAATAATTGCCAAAACGACTTTAGATTTCTGTTCAAATCACTCTTGTCACTTGGTAGTTTCTTGTGAACCGAAGAGCTTGATTCTCCCTTATCCAGATGACCCGGTAGATCTTACCCAGAGCATGGGGGTGACTGTCAATTTTTCCATTTGGCCACCTACCCACATGCCGCAGCTAGAGGAACTGTGGGAAATGCCAAAAGTAAAATGGAAATTTGAATGGTTCCTGTAAAGGTGCAGTTTTCGTTATATGACCACTCCCCCCTTGAGAAAGTCCATTCTATTTTTTTTCTGGCATTCCTTTTAAGTGAATTGAATTGAGAACAAACCGGAGAATGTCTGTGCGCACTTAGGCACAGAGATGACGACCGCAGGGCCTGAGCAACGTACGGGCAAAATGTTTAATTTCCGGATGCACAGAGCGTTGAATTTAAAGGAGCCGGCGCCCCCCGTAATGTATGCAAGCAGGAATATCATGCAGATGCTTCCGGCACTTGGCAACATGCAAAAGGTCAGCGTGGGGAGTGTGTAACCCAGGGGTCATGGCTTGGACAAAGGATGTCTGCCGAAAGTGAAGCGCAATTTCCGGTCTCTGCGCCTCTTTTTGCCCCCACTGGGGATTCTAAAAAAAAACTTATTTTTATACTCCATCAGATCCCCTTGATTATGTACATAAACACTATTAATTGTTTTATTGTTTCCAGTTCGACTAAGAGACTCAGGCGTAGTAGCATCCCATGAGGTCCTTGGGCAAGCAGCGCAGGATATCGAAACCATTCTCGGTCATCTTGAGTGCCGATGCCCGGGCGCCATACTCCAGAGCATCCCGTAGCTTCATCCTCACCTTCTCCAGGGCATAGATCGTGGCCGCCGAGAAGGTGTCGTTCACAGCGACCGAATCCACGATGCGACTCGGTATCTGAGGGCCAACTTTGAAGAAGGTATCATCCGCCATCAGGCAGCTGGCGCCCTCCGAGTAGTTGCTATAGATGACAACGGGTTTATCAGGTGGCGTTGCTTTGCACCGTTCCTCAGAGTCCTCCGCGGGTTCATCGGGCAGCAAATAGGGCATCTTTCGCGGCTGAGTCTTCTGCCACTTGGACCTCGCATCGTTTATGGCATCCCTGGCCGCACAGACAACCTCGCGTCCGTTCATGAACGAGTAGGCGTCCTTCGTGGCCCTCCGGATGAAAACATAGTCCACAAAACTGGCCATGAGCATGGTCGCCGGTCGCAAGTTGTCCACGTCGGCAGAGGTGACGATTCTCAGGTTTGGACAACGCTGGTTAAAGTCACGCACTGCCATCATCATTCGCTGAGTCTCGGCAGGATTGCGGCCCTCGAAGTGGATCCACGAGTACTTCTGGTAGTCCACAGCGCCCACGAATTGCTGGTACGTGATCTCCTGGTGGACGTTGGAGAACTCCAAGATGGTGCGTATGTCCGCATCCCGCCGCATAATGACGCTCCGATGGGCCGGATAGTGACTTGTCATCGGGCAGTGGGATATGTCAATGCCCTGCGAAAGTAATCCATTTAGCAGGCTCTCGAATGCCCGAACACTGCTCAGAACGCCCAGGAATTCACAATCCAGGCCTAATCGGCGCCACACGGTACAGATATTGGTCGCCGAACCGCCTCGCCGCCACTGGCCGTCCTTGGTGCGTTGCTTCTGGCCAGGAGTGAGTGGAAGATCCACTATGGTGATCATGTCCAGCGTGCAGCAGCCGACGGCGAGCACATGCCGCTTGGGTGGAGGCGGCGGTGGTGACGGCTCCCGTGGAAGGCGGTATACCTTTTTCACGGTTATGAACTCCTTTACAATCTGTTTTTTCATTTCCGGTTACCTCCAAATTTTGTCAGACTCCAAAAAAAAATCTGATTACAATTTCAAATGATTTGCTTTAATTTTTATTATAAATTTTAAATATTATTTGTTTACTTTAAGTTGAATGTCTCGTTGCACTGGTGTTGGTGCTGGTCAAGTCCTCCCATCCTTCCTGGCCCATTAAACTGGGCCAAGAGTGTGCACATTCGAAGGGGACCAGCGTCGAGGGCCACTCGGTGACAAAGTTTGAACGGTAATTAGACATGAACAATTGAGCCGAGCAATGGGCAAACAATAAACACTTAATGCATTGGCACGAGTTTAATGACACTTCGCATCGGTGGCGATGACTCCTCTCCAGCAGCTCCAACAACAAGAACAATTGCAAAATTAAACAAAGCCAGCGTCAGTCTACATGGAAGCCTGCCTCTCCTCCTCCTCCGCCTGCGCCTCCGCCTCCACTTCCCAGGGACCCGGACAAATTGGGCCAAAGGAGAGCAAATAAAGGGATAGAAGGATGTTGTGGGATGGTCACAGCGTGACAACACTTTGAGAAAAAGTTCTCTATTAGTAAGTTAAATTCTTCTTTGAACATTCATAATTTTTGGGCTTATTTTAAACTTTAATTTAATGTCTGAAAATGTCCTTTTAAATTAGTTTAATCGAGTTTAAAGAGTATTACTATTTTCTAACAGTGAATGAAGGCTTGTGTGACCGAGCATGTTGAATCGAACGCCGGCCACAAGGTGTCTACATAACAATTTATAATGGTCGACTGGCTGTCCAGGACCAGGACCACAGGCAACAAACCAACATCCAAATGGCGGGCAAAAAAAAATAAAGAAAGTGGCGAAAAAAATACTGGATAATAGCGCCAGACGGCTGCAGTGCCATTTCTCAGGCTCAAGCACCGGACCGAACCGAATGACCCACCGACTGAGTCGGACGTCAAGTTGGCGACAGGACACTGGACTCGGGACTCGGGACTCGGGACACTTGGCCACTCACTCACCCTCCTCGGGGCCTGCTTGGGTGGTTCACGGTCTGCCAGGTGGCCAGGTGAGTGACCAGTTGTTTACATGCCGCACTCACACCGGAAACTCAGCTCCATCGGTGGTATGCAGGGCACTGGGTTCACTTTGGAAACGTATCAGTTCCGAATTGACCGAAAAGGCAATCGATACGATATGGCTGCAGTTGAAATCAAATTTACATTTAATTTAGAGCGTCAGAGAAAAGTGGGTTTTCTTTACTTGAGTGAGCTTTAGTTAGTTGGGTGAATAAATAACTTGGGACAGGTTCTTATTTAAAGAGATTAGGTATTTCTTATTATATAAAATAGTTCATTTTATGAAGGTATGGTTTAAAATATACTTAAACTAGTAAGTTGCATGTTTGAGTTTGAATCAGAAAATAAGCTTACTCTGGAAAGCCGAAGCTTGCATTTTGATCATTACATTTATTGGAAGTGGTTAGCTTCTCTCTCTTGTCTCCACTCCCCACTCTCCTCTCTCTCTCTCTCTTTCAAGCCTTGACATCGCCGCCTTCCATTATCGCAGAGCGAACGCTCCCTCTGGCCATTGGAAATCAGTTCCCACAATGTCGCCAGGCGAAGCAGAGGTAGGTGGGGAAGAAAAAGAGAAAACGAAAATGTTTCTACGCAAGCTGATCGGGAAGAAAAGTCAAGTGAAGAGGAAAAATCCTCTGTTTTAATAAAATAACTATTAGCCGCGCAGTGAAAAGTGTTAGTTTAACGGAAGCCACAAATATCCTCCACTAATTCTCCGTTAGGATTCCCAGCATCAACCTATACAAATGGGTGAGTGAAACAAAACTACTTTTTATTTCAATTCTCTTTTATCTCATATCTTTCTGCTTTCGCAATCGCATTCATTCTTTTCTTGCCTTTGGAGCCATTAGAGGCTTTGTTGTTGTTTCTCGCCCTAGAAAGTGGAACCTAAGAGCGAGAGAGCCTCTCACACTTAGAATACGATCCAATTAAATGCCAATTTTAACATTTTGGGGAGTTGAAAACCTAGCTTTGTTTACCTTTGCGTCGCAATTTGTACATTTGTGAGTTCAAAAAAGCAAGCTTGAGCAACCGAACATTTGGAAATAGAATATTTCATTTTGTCCGAGTATATTTTAGCGGAATTATAAATTAAAAAAAGGGAGGCTTATTTCGGGAAAGTAAACTTTCTTTACCCTTGCAGTGGAAATAGATTTTAACTCAGTCAAAAATTAATTCATTTCCAAACGGAAAGCTTTCCCATGCCAGTCTGCGCAGCTGTGCCGTAGTTGGTTTACTATATTATTTTTAATTCAATTACCTTTAATTCTTTTTGGGAGATACCTAAAGATAATAACCTTAAGTACTTGTAATTTGATTGGAAATTGAATATTGAAAAGCAGTCGAGCATAAATACACACACATCTCGTTGTGGTGAACACACATTAATAATCCGAGCGAGAGTTGGGTGGCTAGTGAAGGAGGTGAAGTCATCGCCATCGCTGAAATTTATTATGCGATGCTATTGATATTTTAAATAAATGTTCCGTGACAGGGATGGAAAAGAGATGCGACTGAATTGATGCTGTAGCCGTATGTTGTCACAGTCGATGGCGATGTGTGTGTGTGTGTGTTTTTTTTTGTTTTTGCTACGGGAATTGAACTATTTTTTCCTGACATCGTTATTGTCGCTGTGCACCTGCCAACTGACCTTGTTTTCTTTATTTGTTTCTCCACCACCCCCTCCCCGCCCCATATGAGAAATGCAATTGAGAAAAACCGACAACATCGAATCCATTTTTTATGAAGACAAAATGGTTTTCTAGTCGCATCTGGTTGGCTTAAGCACCGCTTTCAAGCCATTGTTTTCGGGTAATTGAGTTATCCCAAGGTAGATATGGTAATATTTTGTTTAATTTATTGGAAAATGAGCTAAAACTTTAAACATAACATAAGCAATAGCAAACCCAAAACTAAAGAATTTGGCATAAAGTTTTACTAAAGATTTTCATAGAAAATGATTGATCTTAATAACCAATTAATATCCAAAACTAAACTTAATTCAAAGAAATAATTACTGAATGGTAATTCTTTTGGTATTATTTTATATAGTAAATACCACCTCAACATGTTTTCTTTGGCAGAACAAGCAGGTTTCATTAAAATCTGTGCAAATGTTGTCGTTCCATTTTATTTTGGCTGTCTCACATTGTTCACCAGGACACCGGTTCGCCTTTAATCTCATCTCAGGCCGCGACGAAAAGTCCATCAAGTGTTGTACTTAAGTGGGCCAAATCCCCTTTAAGAATCCTCCTCGAGCACTTTTGTGGGGCAGCCGCTTAAAGTGTTTCCCGGCGCGGAATACGTGGATGGGTTGATGGGTGCCTCTGCCTCTGCCTGGCGGCGTGGCATTCACAAAGAGGACCAAGGCGGGACCCGGAGCAGCCCGGAGCACCGGTGTTCTTGGTGCTCCCTGCTCCCAGCTTGGGGCTCATTATTTCCCCGAGTAATATGCTAAAATGACGCGAACACACACTGGCGGGGCGGCAGACGTCTGGCTGTCGCTAAAGCGCCGGGCTGGGAAATGTTTTTAATTGAAAAGAACTTGCGAGGCGTGCCTGCACACGGAAAACGGGCGGAAAAGGAGTTTGGGAAAGCGGGGTAGCGGAAGGGGTGGAAAAACTCGGCTAGGGTTAACACTGCACCGTGTCGACACTTTGGAACAGGCGGGCCCAGATGCGTCAGGAGCGCCAGGTGGGTTCTTACCCGACAGGACCTGTCATGCTGGTGAAATTGTTTTTAAAGCCTGAAACCCAACCTGGAAACACGGCTAATTTCCATTTGTTCTGCTTCAGGTTACTGCCATTCATTCGCTAAAACTAATATTTGTGGAATCACTTTGGTTTTGGACTTTACCAAGTCTCCGCAGTCTCCCTTTATCTACTTTCTTTTGGTGTAGTATCTACGATATATTGGATACATCTTCCCTCTTTAGATATATGTATTTTATAGCCTCGCGTTGCGCTTTTTATGCGTGCCATTCTGGGTGACACATCAATCAGACGGAGGAGTTGGGAGCTGGGAATAAATTCTGTCACTGGCTGCTCCGCGGCATATAAAACAAGTCCGGAATTTAGCACGTAAAATATTGCACTTTGCTGGACGAAGCTTCAGCAAGTGTTTTTCTGCAAACTATCGCAAAAATGCAGTTGCATTTAATGTTAGAAAAACAGAAAAGAAATAGGAATAATTAAAAGGTAAATCAAGAAAAGTTGACACTGATGTCCAGGAATATGAATAATAGTATTTCATCTCAGAATAAAATATATAAGTAATCGCTTCTATAAAGTCTACATGCTCTGGAAATTGTAATTGTCTAGAATTCTTTAATACTTGAAATGTAGTTCAATATTTAATTATTTATTTTTGAAAAACCCTTTCGAAACCAAAGGGTTTTATTTATTAAATTGCTACTATGGGTATATATCCTTTTAATGGTTGAATCACTAGTTTTTCTAGCACCCACTGTATCAGGGAAAACCCCCTTTTTTTGCATGCACAGAATTATAAACCCATTTACACATTTCCATTCGGGAAACGCCATGCAGTTGCGGATGCTTGAAGTGGTGACCTCCGGAAGAGCTTTGGAATTCAATGGTATTCGTTCACTCTTCTCAGAATTGTGCAGTTTTTTCAGGGCCCTTGCCACGCAAATTGCGTATTTTTATGACTACCATTATGATGTCTAAAATAACTAACGCAGTCTCCGTAGCATCCATGCAGCATCCGTGCAGCATCCGTGCAGTATCCGTACAGTATCCGTACAGTATCCGGGGCAAGCAGCCTGACTAACTGCCAGCCATAACACTTCTATCGCGGAATTACGACATTTATCATAATGCCCGCCAAGTGTGTCGGCGTTGGTACATATATATATTGTATATAAAGAAGAGGCTTGACTTGCAAATAATAATCCACTTGGTGGCTGCCTGCCTGCATCCTTTTTGTACCGCAAGTGCTCTCCTCGGATTCCCCGTCAAATGCAAGGATAATCAGCAGAAAAATAAGAAATATAATTTATTAATTCGCGCTGGGGTAGACTGTAAAGAAGTGGCTTTATTGAGCATACTAACCTTTGTTTAATATTTTCCATGGTAGCGAGATTAAAGCAGTTTACTTACAGCACTTTCTTGGGCAAAATGAAAGAAGAGAAGTTTAGCTTAAATAAAATTTACTGGGATAGTACTCCTTTAAAGATAGATCCTTTATCACATTATGACCTTTTCTATGTTTGCGCATAATTTTGATTATGAAATTTAAATCATTTTCAACTTAAAATAATATTAAATAGACTGTTGGAAACTTTTGTTTAAAGTCAATTAGTTATTGTCCTTTCAATGGCATTACTCAACCCAGATGATGGTCCTTCATTTATCAAGTTGCATCCTTGGCCCTGCTCGATATCTCGGCCTGGTTGCAACAGATGCCGCAAAACTTTTTAATGGTTAAATAAGCGATACTGTCCAGAGCAGTGCAGTTGGCTTAAATGTCACTATGGCAACTGAGATTTTGGTGGCAGATTGGCTTCAAAATGACATTTGTTTGGCTGATTAAGCGATATATATCCTACTTTTACTTACCAATCCAGAATGGCAAATGAAACAGGAGTAGGTTTTGTAGCTTACTTTACAAATACTTTTGATATTTATTGTTCAAGCGTGTAAATAAAGCTTTTTTGCACTTTACTCTTTGTTTTTATGTTTTTGTTTTGTCTGTTATTCCTTTGTAAATAAATTGCAATTTGATATAGTTGCAATATATGTATATATAACATTCAAGTTCAACTTCTAAGTACCACTTATGTACATATGTGTTACGCATATACTCTTCGAAGAGAACATTAGATATTTGCACACGAATGTATGTATCTCTCCTCGTTCTGGAATAATATTAATATTATGGCTTTATGCCATTACGACTCTAAAATGCGATCTCAGCTCTACGCAGCCCTAATTAATTTATTCATACATAAAAATACAGTTAACACTTTGTATTTGTATTGCGGTTCTGTGTATATTTATATCATAGTAATCCCCAGAAGTACAATATACCAATATATATATAAATATAATCCCTATATATACGGTGTGTATCTCTCTATATATGTAATTTAGAACTTATGTCACGCTTTCCCTTTTATCTAATATGTACAGATTCCATCTTCCCATTTCACGAAATGCCTTTCGCAGGAAGAACAGTAGCTCCACGCCTTACCTTACTAACCAATATATATTTTATGGGATCGATACTCGGTGATCCCTTATATATATGGAGTGTTTGTGTAAAGGATGTATAAAGTTCCAGACACGAGAGAAGATAACTATATCTTAGTACCTCAAAAGACAAGATAAGAGTCTAATAAGAATGTTAAGAGCTACTTGTGAGTTTACAAAAACAAAGAAAAGGAAACATGAAATGTATCACCCATAACAGTATACTTTATCAGAAATTTCCCATATTTCAGTATTGTGTTAAACTATGTGTTTCGTTACTAATATTTGTGGAAGAAGACTACTGCATACTTAATATTGGTTCCTAGGGCTAACATAGTTTATAATATATATACACATGTCGACCGAAAATCGGCTAATACTCTATTTTGGTATACAAACGTTGTACGTAACATTGAGGTAATAACTAATTTATCTGATTAACGAACAATGTGGGGAAACTAAAACTTTTTAAAACCAAAGGTCTAAATAAAATTTACATTAATTTTCTGGGCTATTTTAGGCCCATAAACCAATAGTTCTTTAATTGTTATGATATCATTTTTGAAGATTTGCGTGTTCTATAGTCAATGGATAGTCAGTTAGATAAATATTGTATTTATTTATTTGTTTTCTCTTCATTTCGACCATAACTTTTGAATTATCTACTTATGGAAAGTAACGACGACTTATATCAATATATAGTAGTATGTGGGCAACACTTTTATAAAGCTTGTGATCTCAATCTAAGTATGTTTCGGTATTTATATGGCATTCGGACTATGCGTATATTCTATGGTAACAAGATTTAGCTCTACGTTTAGTTTGGTTAAACTATTTTATATTATTTTATTTGTCTTCATATCGTTTATGGGAAGAATAAAACTGGCGACTTTTGCCGATCTATGTTCGCCGGGGGATCGGGTACTTGGGATTATTGGTTAGTTTTAGTTTTATGGAATGTAGATAAGTTCAATATCAGCTTTGGACCCAAAAGTGCGATATTCACATTACAAAAGTTCGTCCCACACTCGAAATGAATTAGATCTATAGCTTAGATTTTAGAAAATCGCCTTCAGTTTTAAGTACTTGGTTATATAACTTGGGTAAAAATTAATTAACAGCTTTTCAAGGTTTCTTTTAGTTTGGATTATGATAATTTTTGTGTGACCGAGTAAATTAAATCGTTTGTATTTTGTTTTGTGCAATTGTTTGTCATTTGTACTTTTAATTTATATAAATAAATTAAGGAAAATTTATGAACCACAAATAATAATAACATATTTACAATAAATAGTTTAAATATAAAACATTTCTACAAGGACAATGTATCATGTTTAAGCCTTAAGTGAACCCTGTCTTTGAGTCACTTTTCTTTAAAGTTCATATAGAATCCAAAAATTAAGAATGTCTTGAACATTTTCACCATTTAAATTAACTGGAATATTTATTTAGTTTTATAAAAATAACATAATCCGTAAAAACCTTTCGAAATCAAAAGCGATTTTCTAAATTTAAGCTCTTTTTCTATTGAGTGATTGGAAAATGTGCTCGGTGGCCAGCTCTAGTTGCTACTGGTATATAGTTTGTGACGGATCTATTGTTAAGTACATTTTGCGGTTGTAAGCTTCTGGGACTGCGCCTGGGGACTCCACATCCACATCCACGTCCACGTCCACGTCCAAATCAGACATCCGTTTCGGTGCTCGACTGGGTGTGGTGGCTGTTGGAGGTGGGCAGCGGCGCCTGGTGGGATAGCTGCTTGTGCAGCAGTGGCGGTGGACTAGGTCCTGGCCCACCCTCGCTGGGCACCAGAAGCGGTAGGGATTTCTGCATGCAGATTACGTTGCCCGGCGACTGATGCTGCGATCGAGGGCTGGGCGGTGTGGGCGTGGCCGGGATCTGATGCCAGTTAATACTGTTCTGGGATGTGACATTCCTGGTCTTGCGCAACGGCGGATTCTTGGTCGAGGTGGAGAAGGCCATGCCACGGCGCAGCGGCACTCTGCGGAACCACGGGAGCGGGGGAGGACACGGAGGACACGCATTAGCAACCATGTTTAGTCGGTTTAGTAGATGGTGAGGCAAGGCGAGACAAGGCGAGGCGCGGCGATAGAGCGATGTGGCGGAGTAGGGGGATGTGGGTTATGGCGAAGAGTTCAGGATCGACCGATGTGGAGAGACGGCGAGACAAAGACACAGGAGACACGGGTTACATACACATACACACACAGTCAGACGCAGTGGGCACTGGAGGGGAAGGGGCTCCCTAGTCTCTCTAGAGACGACACACTCACCTCGTTGGGCTCGGCGGCGGGTAGGAAATGCCACGGTGGCTGGGCGACAACAACATGTTGCCCGAGTGGCTCGTGGTGGTGCCGGGCACGAGCAGAGTATTGTTACTACAAGTAGGACGAAAGGTTACTGTAAAGAGCACACGCTGGCGGATTTGGGATCCGGATTCGTCTACGGATTGTGAGGAAGCGGAAACGCAAGCAGGGAGCAGGTGGCTGAACAGGATAATAATTGTGTTGTCTCACAAACAAAATAACGAAAAAGCTTTTGCAGAAATCACAGGAAAATGAAAAAGAAAACAAAACCCAACGTAACAGAAATCAGAAAATGTAGCTTCGGATACCGAAGGACCAAATATCCTTCCTTCGAAGAGGTTCCGTTCCTTTTCTTTCTTTTTATAAAATATTACAAGTCTATTTTCCATGGGTTGCAATTTAAGTGCATGCTCGTTAGGTATCTTACTATTTTTATATTGTTTTGGGTTTAAGAAAGTTTCCGCTCGGTAGTTGTTTTTAATAATCAAAACCGTATCTAAATATATCTAAAATACATCATATAATTTCTTAGAATTGAAGAAAACAGGTTTAAAAACAGACGGACACTTGGAAAATACCTTTAATATTGTCCCCTTTTTAGCAAGAAGTAATTTAGTATTTATTTTAAAAGACGTTTAGCACAAATGATTTATGGTTGGTGTTATTTGCTGATGATTAAGGTGGATGATATACGAGATCCAAGTAGAGCGAACATTTGACAATAAAAATATTTATTTTGTGGTATTTTAAAATTTATAAAATATGACTACACAGTACGTACTAGCTAAAAAAACAGTGTTTATAAATATGATGACTAAATGTAGAGTATGGTACAACATATAAACGGTGTGAATCCGACCCCGGAATCGCTCCTCACACACGTGATGTGACGTGATGTGACTGGGCAGGGGATCTGAACTGGTGATCGGTGATCGGTGATCAGTGATCAGTGATCGGGGATGAGAGTGGTTTAATTTTTTTTTTTGTTTGGTGGTGGAGTGTGCTTGCTTGGTTTTAGTAAGAAGCTGTCATGGTTGATCAGTGGTGGCTGTGGTGCACCCTCTACGCAACTTACGTGTGGCTGTGATGCATATTTAGGTTGGGAAGACTCTGCCCCAGATGGTTCAACGGCTGCACGGACAGAGTGTTGGCCGACTTGGAGCCCATCGGGCCAATCATACCCATCTTGGCCTTGTGCAGGCCGCTAATCAATTGCTGTTTGCCCTTCAGGGTAACTCCATGGTTGCCTGTCGAATAGAAGTAGTGGAGATTGAATAATAGTTAGAAGGGTTTCCGATTTATATTTCATAGAAATAGTTAATTTATCCGTTAGCTTATTTCACTCACCCGTCATTATGCTGGAGCCCTCGTCACTGGACACCGAGTTTGTCTTTTCAAAGTCCACGGAAATGTTCCGCGAGTCATTCCACTCGACACTGCCGCTATGGCTGTTATTCGCACTCGACACATGGCTGCCAATTGAGGAGTTCATCGGTGACTTGCGCACACCCAGGGAGTCGGCGGTGCCGCCACTGGTGCCACTGCCACCGAATCGGAAGCTGTCACCACCCACGGTGCCGCTACCACTTCCGCCTCCACCGCCGCCACCAACACCACCACTGCCGCCGGCTCCACGCTTCAGTCTTTGGTAAATCGTCTTGGCCCGCCACAAGGCATCGTACCAGTTCTTGGCCTCGGTGCACTGCAGCGTGAATGCCGTGGTGGCCACCTGGAACTCGTTGAGGTACACACAGTTCAACGTATTGTTCGCCGCCAGCTGGACAATCAGTTGGTCGGTCAGGTACGGCTGCCGGATCACCTTGAGTGCCCCCAGGCCTCGCTTGGCTATCGTTTTGCACACCAGGAGGAGGTCCGTTAGCAGGAAACAATGCACATCGGACTTGCCGAGGTTGTCCTTGAATTTGTGATCACCCTCCATGAACAGGTGCCGCACATGGTAAGCGGGACAGCCACGCATGGGGGCACATAGATCAAACATTTGACTATGTTGCTTGATCAGCTTGTCCAGCATTTCGTTGTTCGTGTCCTGGAATAGTAAACAGGATCATTCGTAGTCATCTTAACAGCTAGATTTTTTAGGAGGAAGCTAACACTTACCACCACATCGTACGACTCAATCCGCACCATCACGCCCTTGAGCCGCTCGTTTTCCTGACGCATTGTCAGATGGTTATTCACGCTGCCCACAAAGTTCTCCACACTGTGGATCATCACATCGATGGCTTCGATCTCCTCCACATCGCTCATGTGCTTCTTGATGGCCGCCAGCAGAAGGCTGTACTTGGTCAGTCGCTGCATGGGTCGGACCACAATGTCGGCCAGCCTCAGGCGGTTGCACATCTTCTGGGATTCGCACCAGGCTAGGTAGGAGGTGAACAGGGGATTGTTCTGGTTCAGTTCCTTGCAATAGAACTGGCAGGTGCTCTGTTCCGCGCAATAGATCTGCAAGAAAATGATAGTTTATATATTTATACCCTAAACTATATATTCATAACCCACCTTATATGGCGCAAATATGGAGGCAAAGGCGATGAAACCCTCCTGGAAGAAGGCACACCGCAGCGGTTCGTGGGTTATCACACTATGGGCCACCATGGGATATAGCCACAAGGTCCAGAACTTAATGTTCGCCTCGCACACAGCCCGTACGTTGGAGAAGAGTCTCGCTTGGTCCACATCGATGAGCAGTCGGTCCTCCTGCACAGCCTCCAGACAGGCCAGAAAGAGCTGAAACAAGTCCAAGGGTTAGGAAATATCCCTGCTAAAGACTCCTCCTCCACTCACATCCGTCACCGTTTGCAGGGCATGTATGTAGTACACCTCGGTGGTGACCAGTTCCCAGATTGCCGTCTGTATCTTCACCTCACTCTCGCTCATTGTGCTGCTCTCCACAAAGTCGCGCCAGGATTTGTGCATGTCCTGCAGATAGGCCAAAGAGTTGACTAGATCCGGGTGCTCAAAGCTCAGGCCGTCCGCCCGCTGGGGTACTCCATTCCGGCTATAGCTATTCAGCAGTTCGCACAGTTGGCTTTGTTGTGGATTTTTGATTCCAAAGATGGAGGACCAACGCTGCTTGATCTGTTTACCAGCTGCCACGCCCGACTCGCTGGTCTCCTCGGTGGAAACGGAGGGCAGCAGTCGTGGTGGAGGTTGTCGGGAGCCCTAGATACGTAAGGGAAGATAGTATATTTAAATATGGGGATGAGGAGCATTAAGAATACCTAGCTATGGGTTTGAAATCAATAGGATATGTGTCTAAAAACATTAATACAAATATTAAATGCTCCTTTTCTTAGACTTAAAATTTTATAGCATACTTTTCTGGGCATAGTATAGTGGACTTTAAATTCCTCTATATTTTTCCATTTATACCTTTTCCTCATAATAATTTTACTTATTTAAAAACTGCATTATCATAATATTATAAAAACTGCACTTGGCATTTTCTGTAGAACATTTTGAAGCGCATAAATTAACACGACTTCACAAACTGTTCATAACACACATGCAGTTTGGCTTGAAAGTCACCTCAAGGTGATTCTTTCTACTTTCGCTGTAAACTTTATGGCTGACCGTAAAAAATGTTTATTTTCCCATTAGCTATTTTTAAAAGGGAAACTTACAAAGGAAGCTGCCTTCTGCAGGGGTTTTCGGTTGCTGCCTCGCTCCGTAATGCAGAGATGGTGTCCAGCCAGGCTCTCCACATCGGTCTGCTCATCCACGGAAACGGGAACGGGCGAGGGACCTGTGTGCGTCAGGACATAGGATACAGTAAATAGCATCGAAATTCCAAGAATGAAGTCGACAAGGTCAAAGACTCATACCTGCATCTAAAAAACTGGGCGTGGGATTATTGTCCGTAATTGTGATCTGTGAAAAGCTGATGTTGCGCCTTCGCAAAGCGTGGCTCAGTGCGTTGCTAAAAATATTTATTTGAAATTTAAACCCCATTTAATATGAAAGTTTTATATAATATTTGGGGAAAGGTAACTCACAGTAGAGTTACGCCTTTGGTAGCAGGAATAAACTCTTCATCAGGATGCTGTTGTTGAGACGATTCCAAACAGAATGACACGGAAAAGAATTCTGAGCTTGATACCTAAATTGGGGAATTAAGAATAGTCATAGGAGTTAGCATGAATATACAGTATATATTTTAAATTTTTTTTTCCCAAAGTAGAACCTTCTTCCTCTTAATACAGAGATCCTAATCTTTGAATTTGAAAACCCCAAAACAAAAAACCCTTTTAATTTAGCCTTCAAAAGGACCGCCAAGCAAAAATCACTTGTGACTGCCAGAGGAGAGCACTCTCTTTGACGGCCCTGGGAGTGTGAAGATTGCATCTGGCGGCAGGCTGGGGGAGCAGTAGGCATCCTTCTGCCCACAGAAACTACTGGAATAAAAGCAAACATCAAGGAATATTCTCCGTATATTTGTGTTGGCGGAATCCTTCTCCGCTTGACGTGGAGAGGAGAGATGGGGGCCCGGAAAAACCCACGAAGGCAAGGAAAGGAAAAGGAAAGTAGAGAAAGGAAAGCGGAAAAGGGGGAAAGTTCTACGAGACAACTTTTGCTGATTAAGGCGACAAAGGCAAATAAAGAAATTAAAAAAAAAGATATATATATATATATATATTCCCATTCCCATTCCCGTCGCCAACGAAAACGTCTTTCGTCCGTCTCAAGTAAGCATTAATGACGACGAGAGCGAGGTGACAGGACCCTCCGATTGTGCAGCCATTCGAGATCCCTGCTTAATCCCAGATTCAGAGCTTCCTTGCCGCTGGCCGGCCTTTCAGGTGCCTCAGACTCAGCCTCAGCCCCAGCATCTTTAGCTTTTTCAGGTGTCACAGCCTCGCAGACTCACCTCGCTGCGCGTCAGCAGTGGCTTCTTGCGCTTCATGAACGAGGATTTCTTTTTCACCGTTGCACTGGAGGATGTTGGGCCACCCGCTGGCGAGGTCAAACCACCACCATTGGGCGTGGTGGTGCTGTAGGGACTCAGAGTGGCAGACGAACTGGCCGCTGTTTCGCCAGCAAACTGAAAGTGTTTGGAGGAGGGTATTGCATGAGTAGCCGGAATGGAGCCACTGATACCACCGCTAGCCAGTTGCTGCTGGTTGTGATGGTGGTGCTGGTGTTGGTGGTGCTGGTGAAGGGATCCTGCACTGGCATGGCCAGTGCCAAAGCAGGCCGAACTGGCCATAGTCGTTGTCGTCGTCGAGGCATCGAGCGTTGGCGATAGCGATAGCATCAGCGAGGGCGTCCGCCGCACGATCTGCGGTGCCTGAGTGTAAATGGTGGGTGCAGGATGATGGCTCTGACTGGGTGGAGGATGAGTGGATATCTGCTGACTTGACAGCTGAGGGGTTGATGCAGGGTTTGGTTCGCTCTTCTCCGTCTGAGAAGCATCGCGGGTTATTGTTGGGGGTTTTATGTTTCAATAAGCAGTCAACGATCAAATAATAAAAACACAATAGCAAATAGAGATAGTTCGGGGGAGAGATAGAGAACAGTTGGAGAGAGAACAGAGAACAGAGAACAGATAGTAGTAGACAGATTTGGTGAGCATATTTTTATGGTGACTACATGGTTCTATAGCAAACTATAGAGTCTATTCTACTGTGCAGTTTATTCAAATAAATCCAATTGTCAAGCATTTCAAATAAAAGTAGGTGCAGGGAAAAGATGTATTATAATCTAAAAGTTTCATTTGTTATTTAACCTATACTTATCATGGGTGCTACAGAAATTGTAGAAAGATTTAGCATCAATTAAACTGATGCACAAGGATGCAAATTAAGACATTTTAAGCCTTGGCTCAATGAGTTCCTTCTTTCAAAACTCTTTCTGTACAAAGAAAATAATAAATTTTTAAAAGAAATATAGGTAATTAAGAGAAAAAATTAAAACCAAGTCAATTACAAAGTCTAATTCTACTATTAAAAGATTCTTGAATATTTAAACTGTCACTACCCAGTTTCTTCAACAAACTTAGTTAAGAAACACCTTACCCTTCATTAAAACAACACTTCGTTTGACTAAGAAAAGCGAACTGAAGGCTACAAATTGATGACACTTAAAAGTGGGGGGGAAAACCCATCTCACTTAAAATTGCAGAAAAGGCACGTTCATGGCGGAGTTTTCCCTATGACTAACAGTTACAGATAGTTGGTGCAAAAGATACAAATAAAAAAACCACTGACTGTGCGTAAATCAATGACAGCTACACAAAGAACAACAGCAGCAGCAAAAGGAGCAGCACTAAAAAATCAAAATAGACAGAAATCAAAGACAGACACAAAAAGAGCAAGCAAAGTAATTTGTTATCAATTTGCGAACGGACTTCCTCTCGAGGGTCCAGGGAACCCAGGAATAGCGAATCTCTACAGTGGGCAAAACTACACTCCACATGCTACACTCGAAGAAAAGGCGATCTAAGGCGGTATAAGTGTATTTTATAGAATATATAAAGAGAGTAAATCAGCATCTTCTATAAATACTACTGTGAGCTTAGATCGCCTTTAGTTTCCCTCAGTGTACATACACATTCTAGGCAAGATGGATGTGCTGACTAAGTGGCCCAGTCCTGGGCCATTGGCCATTGGCCGGTGGTTTAGCATGTGCCCCTTGGCCCCCAAGCCCGTCACTTACCACGTTGGCCTGTCGGCCCAAGGATCCGGGTGTTCCTGTTGTGGCAAACAGTCCGTGATTCACATTGGTTCCATGGAAAGCGTGGGTAGTGCCACCACCAGCAGCAGCAGGAGCAGCAGTGGTGGTGCTGGTGCCGGTGGTGGTGGCGATTCCCGGAGGACCGTGCTGGCAGGCCACCACACCCGAGTCGAGGCCATCCAAGTGCGTGAGACTCTTCGATTTCAGCTGCAACAGAAAAATGAAATGGAAATCAGGATTGTGAATCTAGGTGGGGAATTATTGAGGCGTGAAGCGCAGATATTTATAATTAAATTTTATTCGCGTTATCGAGGGCTTTTTACATATTGTTTTTGATGGCTCACCAAACCCGTTCATCTCTCCTGCGCTTTTATTCAAATAAAAAATTCAATTTAAAAGGTAAGCGGATGAAACATAGCCTTTTATGGCATGCATACATACAGGCAGTTTCTAGATGCATTAAAAATAATATTCAATAATACAAAAAACAAAGAATATTTATGGGAGAGAGTGGATATTAAATTAATTCGATATGTGGCTTGAATGAAGTTTATTTTTAATTGTGGAATTTTATAATAAAGGCAAATAATACCAGAAGCACATATTTGTATTTAATAATGATACTTAATACAATAACAATAAATAAATTAACAATACTTAAAGTAAACATAAATCACATGAAAAGTAATTATAATCGTACAAAAATAATATAAATAAATCAATTTCTGGACCTATTTTTTGACCCACATTAATTATTGTTAGTTTTGGAGAACTATAAGTGGCTCTGAGCAAAAGTCCTTGGTTTATGAGCTATAAAAAGCACTTTGTTGTTTAATCCGGATATTCCTTTGTGTATTCCAAGATGCTTTCGGCACTGCATTGTGTTGCACGCGACCTTTGGGAGCTGGGGGAGATGCTGCCACAGAGTCATCAAGCCACTGCATCCAAGGGACTTTGTTGAAACCACATCGAATTACTGAATATTTTTCGCGCTTAATGCAGAGAATAATGTTTTGAATGCTTTTGGCGCCGGGCGTTAGCGAGACAATGAGAAGCTCAGTGCATTTTGCCGGAAAGCAAAAAGGAAAAAAATAATAAATTGCTTGAAGCTTTGGTAACTTGGCAACATGGCAACGAGTAGTCGTCGTCATCGTCCAAAAGATGCATCGAGAACAAAAAGATTGCGCGCCAGCGGCCAAGAGCCCTAGACGTGTCCTCGAAGGTTTCCTGTCCTCGCCTAATGCACTGAGATTACATCAGTCAAGTGCCCCCCAAGCCGGCCCCTTACTCGGTGAGTGAGTGAGTGAGTGAGGGACATGGACCAAAGTCAGGGACCGCCTCAAAGTCAATGCCTCACCCAACGGCACCCAAACGCACGTCCTTTGCCAAGGACCCGCCCACCCGGCGTGTTTTACACATCTCAATGCCTCGGTTTAAATTGTTCTCAACGCAAAAAAAAAGGAAGAAAAACCTTGTGCTTAAATTCGCATTAACCGCACTTGGTTCTTGAGCCTTTTCATGTCTGAAATGCGATCTAGACTTTCTAAAAACCTCGATTAAGTTTGTGAAAATATATATAATATGAGGGGAAAAATGCTCTAAATGTGGATGGATTTGTACAAGGTCAAGTCAGTATAATCAGTTTTTGTTGTCTTTGCTGGTTAATTGCCAATGAATTGGCACGAGTTTTCCCAGCAGAATATTTGGGATTTATTTCACTTGAATTGCTATTTCTCTGCATTTGCTGAAACATCAAATGGACGAGGGGGCGACGAGCAGGACTTCTCCCGCATCCTGTGCGCCGCGGCATGCATGGCATTCTAGTTGCGAGAATTTAAGCCCCGAGACGGATGCCATTCATGCCCCCTTGATGCCGCTAATCTCGCCGGCAAGCATTTCCCTTGGATCCTAGAATCCCGGACTACCGACTACCGACTGCTGACTCCCCGGAGTGCGCCCAAGGATACGCTCGCAGCTCTATGGTCTATTATTCCTGCTGACGACAATATTTCACATTCTGTTTTGGCAATTTCCAGCTGGCGGTCGGTCCCCGGTATGGCCCTTGCCCTTTCACTCTGGTTTATGTTTTTGTTTCCGGTTATATTGTGAGTTGTTTCGCCCACTGCGGCTTTCCTGGCTGGTTGACTGTTTCCAGCAAATCACAAAATATCCGGGTATATTGTGCCTGAGTTTTAAGTGAATGTTGAACTAAAAGAATACTGTTTAGCAAGGTTTATAAGATGGGGTTAGAAGGTTCTTGTTAGCCAGAATACAACCTAAACTAGACTTGAATTCCATTCACATTTTAATCTTGAATGTGGTTATATCAAAAACTATATTTATGAAATTAACTAAGGGATACCTCATAGTCCATAATGCCACTGATATGCTACTTTTTTGTAGCTTTCCCCTCTGACGTGGACTTTTGGCTTAGCTTGGCCTTTTCCTTCCGACACAACAAAAAATTGAGTTTTCATACACTCATAGGTTCTCGTAAAATGAACACTTTACTTTTTGTAGAATCCGGAGAGTGAGGAAATAATAATTTCGTTTGTATATATGCTTTGTTCTGTAGTAGGAGTTGTGCATTACATAATTTACACCATTATAGTGGTGGGTCACGTCTAATGTTTGCTAACGCGATTACATAATCACTTGAAGACTTTAATACATGTGTCTGGGCCAAGGAATTTGCCTGTTAACATGGTTACTTAAAGCGGACAAAGATTGACAAAGTGAACTTTGGTGCATGAGGCACACATTACATGGGAAATCACTTTCCGGACAAGGCCATGAGAAATCACCCAGAAGGGTGAATGAAAGGAGTCCAAGTTAGACTTGTGCTAAGTTAAGAATTTATTCTTAGTATACAATGTTCTTGTAAACAGTTACTGATGGATTTTCCCCTGAAAAATTGCAGTAATTTTTATTAGGCTTGGTTATTCATTTAGTTATTCTCCCATAATTGTTTTCGTTTACGTGCACCCTCATCCTGTTTGTGCTCTAGAACCTTTTGAAGACAGCCCGCTGGCGCCACTAATAGGATTAGATTTTGTAATAAACGTACAAATTATGATTATGGCCGAGAAGGTGAAGTGGCCTATTTGGATGCCCAAAGGCAGATGTTGAGAGATTTGCTCAGTTCTTATGAAAATATTCTGCAAGATACTTCGGGCTCTTTGTGGAACATTGATAATCTGAATGGATTTTTCGCCAGCAAAACTACTACGAGAAATGGCAGCTTCGCTTTCGCTTGGCTTTAGTGGTTGGTGGTTTCCCTCTCCTCCGGGTGAGGAGTTAAGAAGGACTTCTATCCCTCCCATTGTGGTGCAGAACAAATTGCTGATGCAATTTATTGCTTGACTGCACTTGCGCTAATGCCTCTAAATATGTTCCGGCGACAATTGAATTCCCACCCACATTCTCACATATCCCAACTCCCCCGTATGTGCACGCATTAGTTTCTATGGTACCACACTGCGTATACGTTATGCGGAATGTCTATATTATAATATTTATGAATTGCGTGGCGATCAGAGTTGTCCAGCATCGCTTATTGCGATTCCATTCAAGCTTAAAAGCCTTTAGCAAAACGGAATATAAGCTTATACACTCTGAGCTGGGTCTTTAGAGGAAGGTTTTATATATTATATGCCTAAGAAATTTCGTTTTATAAGAGAATTGATTAATTTAAATGAAAAGACTTCAAGAAAATAATATATAACATTTAGAAATTAAATTAAAAGGCAAGACTCTCTTAAAATATATTCTACAACTAACTTACTTAATTTGTATGCCTCAAATTCAACTTATAAATGAGTAAAGTCTCTCTCTATCACAAAACCTATAAATAATCACAGTGCATGATTAACGCATAAAATATTGAGATATAAATCAAGAATGTGACCTTAAACATAATGGGTTTTGATCATTAATTATGTATAGTGTCCAATTAAATGGAATTTAAATAACAAATAAAACCAAATGCTGTTTGGAATTATGCAAGTTGAGAACTAAATGTTTTTCGAGTGCATTCAATTATTTATGAACGTTAAAGCATCTTTAGGAATTCAGACGCCTTACGTCATGGATGTAAATAATTTTCTTTGCGCTCTTATATTCCCGGGTAATTCCGTAATTTAATATCCGAGAACTTAAAACACAAACAAGAACGAACCGACAACAGAGGGAAATAAAACGAAAATACGAGCGCACATAAGAGTGGAAATATGTTTATTCTCATTTCGCTAAGTAAACATTTGATTAAGGCCGCGCATAATTTGTTGACCACCTCCCACGCCATGTTACGCCATGGCACACTCTGCGTTTTGCCGGATTTCCCGGACATGCCCCGCAGGACTCACCTGCAGCTTGCTGTTCGGTGGCGACACCACCAGGCAGATCTTCATGGTGGCGCGCAGGAATTCCTCGCGCTTCGTGCTGAGGTCAGGGGTCACCGAGCCCGGCGATGTCACCGCCGCCTGCTTGAGCGGCGCCTTCTTTGGCGAGGTGACACTGGGCAGGAACGGATTGAGGCTCCGCACCAGACTCGCAGAGTTGAACTTGGAGCTACTGCTGCCGCCGCCCTCGTTGCTGCTCCCGCCGGATGGCGGCGATGCCGAGGTGGTTCCACTCTGCGGTCCCTGTTGCTGCTGATGCTGATGATGCAGCAGCCGCGTGGGCGAGTTCAGGCTGAACAGCTTCCTCCGATGCCGACCAGGTGTGGAGGAGGAGCTGGATGCCGGGCTGGGACTGGGACCTGCAGGTCCTCCTCCCTCGCTGTGCGTTGATTCCTGGGATCCAGCACGACTGTAGGAAGGCGTCGGCAGCTGAGCAGACCTCGCTCCACTGGTGTACTTCACCGAGGTCACATTCCCGTCCAGCTGCAGGTCCTCTGTTAAGGACTCTCCACCAGCACCGCCGCCACCTTCAGTCTCATCCCCATCGTAGGTGCTGTGATACGTGCGTGCCGTAATCTCCGGGAGGAAGGGATTGTTGGGCGAGGTCAGAGTGTACTGATAGTAGCCACCTCCACTGCTGCCAGTCTCCACTGGCAGCGTGTTATCCGTCTCATCGGGTGTGCTCTCCTCGGGAAAGGAGCCGCCGTGGAAGTCATGACCACCGCCCACGCCACTGCTACTGGACAGGTAGGCGCCCAGCTGCTCCCATTCCCCGGAGGAGGAGTTGTGCGAGGAGACGGTGAAGCCCTCGTTCGAGTGCCCTTGGCAGCTGCGTGAGCTCTCGTTGCTACTCTTGAAAAGGAAGTTCTGGAGGCGGGTCAGCCGGATGGAGCTGCTCTCGCTGGTCAGGCTGCAGCTCCTGCTGCTATTATTCCCAGCCGCCGTGGATGAGGAAGTTGTGGTTGCTGTTACATTCGTGGTGTTGTTGCTGCTGTTGATGGGCTGCTGATCACTCCGATTGCTCGACTGCGTCTCGAGGCGCCGTCTATCACGCTCCTGAGTGTCAATGGGCACTCCACCTGTGCCCGTTCCGGCTCCTGCTGCTGCGCCCCCCGCTGCTGTGCTCACCTCGCCACCCATGGAGGCCCAATAGTAAACACTGGTCTGGGAGCCGCCGCTCAGCTCGCCCAGCTCGCAGCTGCTCTCCAGGGATGTGCTCGAATTGGTGGTGGCTACGCTGCTCAGGTGCTGGTAGGCGTATTCCGGCGGTGTGCACTCGTCGGGGCTGTCCAGGAGCAGGGCGGGATTGATGTGGCCACCCAAGCCCCCAAGGCCGACACCCAGGCCCAGTCCTGGGAGATTAAGGTGGCTGAAGGCAAAGGGCAACCGGTTGTTATTGTCCGCGGGCAGGGAACTGGGCAGCGGTGGCGGTGTGGCTCGACTCTTGGCCCTTAACTCCTCCGGCGTGGGCTCCTGACGCTTGCACTCGAGGGATCGGTGGTCGCCGCGTCGAAAGGAGCGACGCAGACGCTCCGCAAACTTGGATTGCTTCGGCTGCGCCGCCTTATCCTTGGGCGGTTTCTCCTTGGACCGGCCCAGCAGATTGGTCCTCTCAGTCTTGTCCTCCTTGTCCAGGAGTTTCTCGTGCATAGCCGTCGTCGTGGAGGAGGTGGGGATCTTGGCCAGGTTGTTCAAGGCCGGGCGCTGGTTGCTGGCTAATGTAATCGGTGGCGCCGCAAAGCCACCACCCATTACGGCCGCCCTTCGCCGTGGTGCCAGAGATTCCCCGTCCGCTGATTCTCCGGAAAAGGTTTTGCGAGTCCTCTCTTTCTCTTTGGAGTTTTCTCTGATTTTCTCTCTAATTTAAGTGGTCCGTAATTATTCACTAAATCGTTAACTTATGAAGCGTCAATTTTCCCCCAATAGGAAACACGTTTTAAGATGTATTCCGTTTCGACTAACACTAGGTGCGGTTTAAAGCGATTTCATTATAGTTAGATTTTGCTCATATTGCTTATATTCTATATATCAAATATATATAGTTTTGATGTTCGTTGGTTTTGCTGGAAATAAAGAGAAAACGTATAATAATTGCATAATTAAATTTAAGGCTGACATTAATCGAGGAGTGGTTTGCATGATAATCTCAATCTATAAATTTTGCAAATTTAAACTGTCATTAAAACCGCATATATTTGCTGCTAACTTTGTTTGTTTAAAAATTAATATGCCAAAAACCGACAATTTGCCGCTTGAATTAGCTAATCTTTAAAGTAAATGTATGTATATATATTTTTGTCAGAGTTTTCTCAAACAAGTTTAACAAAGGGGCAACCAAATAAGTCCTGACAAAATGCAAATACAACCACTTTCCGAGCAAATCAATTTAGGATAATCCATTCAGTCATAATCTTCAACCGTTATTGCTATTTTTCGCCCTTCGATTTGTATATATATATTTACATATAGTATGCAGCATCAGCAGGAGCAACCTTTAAAGTTTTTTCGGTTGTTATGGAAATTGGGAAAACGTGTTAGCATTTCAAATGAGAACCGGTTTTGGCTTGGCCCCGACGGGTTTTTCACATAATTTCATGAGTCCTCTGGTCCCAGGATGCCCTGGAAAGCGATTGCCAATCCGGATGGCAAATCCGAAAAGTTTAATCAATGTGCATATATTTCGATGTCGAAGCGATTGACGATTGGCAACAAACTGAATTAATCAGCCAGAATGGCCAGTCAAAGCTCAAGCTAAGGCATTGCAACGTTTAAAAAAACGTTAAGAAATGCAATTACAACCATAAAGAAGAAGCATAGCAATATTAGAAATATTAAATATTTACATATTGTGAAGGGGTTTTTGTTTATTCATTTCAAGTACCATTATTTCATCCTATTTTTTATTGATTCCACTGCTGCCTGGTCACGTTCCAAAGTCTCTCTCCCATAATCGTACATTTATATTCGCCACATAACTTTAAGATGTTCTTTTGGGGAGCCGAATGTGGACTTACTTTTGGCAGAAGGCTAAAACCATAAACAATCCTGTGCCTATTTTCCTGATTTTCAATGGTTTTCTTTCTCGAAGGCGAGAGGCCAGGACAAGGAGTCACCTAAGGACCCAGAACAAACTTGCCCATAAAACGGGCCAGAAAACTTTATTGTTATTAATATTATTTGCACATAAATATAACAGTAAATAAACATACAAAGTGCGTATGTGGATGGAGAAGGAGCAGGAGAAGTGTGTGGCACTCACAGCACACAGCTCACAGAGAGTTGACAGCCAGCCTGCCCCTGGCTGTTGCAAATAAATCATTGCACACGCCTGGACGCCCCTCGAGCACGCAACGTGCCCCCAATTCCACAAACCAGCAATCCTTCCCTCCTTGTTTCCCCTTCCAAGCCAAGGAGCACACATCCCAGCTAGCAGCCTGCGGCTGGAACCGGTGTGTTTGCTGCTTGTGTTTAGGCCAAAATAATGTATAATTAAGCCGGGCCAGAGAGTTCAGACGGTCGGTCGGTCGGTTGGACGGTAGGTCCTTTAATAAAGCCAACCATCCTTCATGCCACGCACCATACACATTGTGGGGGGTGCTGACAGCCAAGGAAGGGGTTCCAGGGGTTGGAGAGGCACAAGCCGAGGTGTTGCTACCTCCATTGATTCCAGGGGTCTCACCCCCGTCACCCCTTTTTTGAGTAGAAGTTAGGGGGCACGCGGAGGCCAAGTTATTTTCAATTAAGTGTTCTTAACACGTTGCCTAATCGACAGACATGTTCCCCCGGGAACATGGCAAATGCCACGTCCTCCTCCCTAATCACATTAAGGCAAAGCCAAAGGAGACGCACAAAAGGTCGAGCGAAAACAGTGACACGATGTGATTCCAATCTGTGTTTCTTGAGGAGACACTCCCAGTGGGAATTTGTTTTAATCTAAGCCTATGCCTGACACCTCGATGTTTTCTTTTGAATTTCAAAGAGATTTAAAAAGTTTAGTAGAAGTTTTATGGGGGAACATAATAAAGGGCACAACTAGAACTTAAATATATGTGATAAATAGAGGATTCCTAGTTTTATAAATAGACCATCTTTACACAAATGAGGTTTAAAATATATTTATTATAGAAGCCTAGTTTCTTTTAAAAGAAATCATCTGTAAAAGAGGTTTATTAACATTCCCTTTTTATATCCTTAAAGGGTATTTCAGTCAGAATCTTGTAAAGGAGTAATTTTCGACCCTATAAATTATATACTTTTTTGATCAGCATTAACAGCCAAATGGATTTAGCCATGTCCTGTCAAAAAATAAATTTTTTTAAATTTTTCAAAATTTCAAAAAAAAGATAAGGGGTTACATCGTCAAAATTTTCAAAAATTGGCATAATTTTTAATTTTCTTAAAATCTAAATTGAGTATGCAGATTTATTAACCTAATAAAAACTAACATAAGAATGATTTCTGAATTGAAATTAATGCATTTTTGGCCAAGCTATGAGATTTTGAAAATTTTATTTGTTAAAAATATATTCATATTAAAGAAAGCTATGCTCTATATATAAACTGATTCATTCCTATAATTAAATTGCAAACTGCAAGGGTATATAAACTTCGGTTACCCTAAAATAACTTCATTTCTTATTTCATTTAATATAATTTAAGACTTCAGTTAAATTTTGACACTTGCAGAGTGATAAAACCTTAGAATTTGCTAATAGAAAAGGTATGTAATAATCAGGACAAGCGGGTAGGTAGACCCTCTTCCCCTAAGCCTGCATAATTGCCGCCTTGTCGTTAACCAACTTAAATATTCCGTGTGGGCCAGGTCTAGGCGTAGGATTCCCCTGGAGTGGGCTCAAAAAATACGTTCGTATCACGGCAGGGCACATGGTGGAGAGCGTTTAAAGATAAGCGAGCATGTTGTTTCGCCTTTCATTAAATTAAATTAAATGTGTGTCTTGCGATAAAATTTTATATTCAGGCGGGATGTGGGTCGTCGTCGCGAGTGGCAAGCGAGTTCAAGGCGCTTTTCAATTTCACTGCAGCAACAAAATCCGGCCAACACGGCTAGCAAAGAGCAGAAGCAAGAAAAAAGCAACTAGCCGCCGAAGCGCCGTCATTTCCGCTGCCTGTCAGAGCAGCAACAATTTAATTTTTATTGTTATGATGTCATCAGCATAAGAACCAGGCCCGTGCCATTTGCAGTCCCCTCCCCCACAACCTCGATCTCGGCCGGAACCCAGAGAGCCCCCCCAATCCATCCAGGCCAACCAGCTCCCCGCTGACGCACTTGGCCGACGTGAACCACATACAAATTGGTAAGAGGAACTCTGCTAAAATAACCACTATCCGCAGCTTGGAACCCCCGGAGGCATCTATTTCGAGTCCGAGAGCGATTTATGCGAGAATTGCCATTTCCCTGTGAAGGGATTTACTCTGAACCGCTGACCACTCAGACAGTGGAAGCAAAGATGAAGTGTCAGAGGCGTTGGACCATCACCTAAGGCACAGTTTAACCTCAGAGGAAGGGATTCTTATCCCAAAAGATAGTTCATTGATTAATCTTTATATATAACTTGGAAAAATCCTTCAGCAACTGATAGAAATCTCAAGAAAGACACAAAATTTCTAGTAATTTTAACCTCGTAAGGAAACCCCTCATAATTGAGTTCTAGACAATTAAATTCCAGACTTTAGGTTAGGGTTAGGAAGGCTTCACTGTATATAGACAACCATCGAATTACTTGGCCTGAGAGAAGTAGAATTATGCCCCACGGCCTGTGCACATTATTACGATGCCGGTTGCTTTTATGTGGCTGTGTGTGGTAATGTAACATTTTGCTGAGCAATCAAAAGGCGCAGCAAAAGTTCACTCCAAGTTTCGGATGGGATGGGATGTCGGCAAGGACCGCATCCGTTTGCAGAGCTCCCACCTGGTGGCCACCTGGCCCAACTTGCAGCGGGAGTTTGATCGATAAACCAAACCAAGCCAAACCAAGCCAGGCCAGGCCAAAACCGAGCCCGAGCCCGAGCCCGAGGTCTCGTAAATTGAGGCGGCTATATAGCCAACTGAGTCCCGTGTCAAAATCAGAGACTGAGGCAAAGTTTAATCTTTGATGCCGGCGACACATTGGACCCAAATTGATTTTTAAAGTTATCAGAGGCAGAGAGACAGAGCCGTGGCTGTGCCTGTGATTTATGCAAAGAGGTTGGCAACTTTTATGGGGGCTGGGGGGCGGGTTTTGTCTTAACAAATCGGGTCAGAGTGCAGAGTGCAAAACCGAAACAAAAACACAACTCAAAGTCCGCTCCCCCTCCCCCCTGCGAGCGTGAAACAATGCCCATTCATCATTCTGATATCATGGGGTTCAGCAATCGAATACAGAGCTGAAAAGTATGCTATATTTTTTAGGTATTTGCTGATTGAACACCTTTTCAAGGATTTTGCATTTTAAAACTGATTAATCAATTGGATTTTGTATAGATTTCAAGGGGGCTTCAGTACTAGTTTTTCAATTAATTTAATCTCAATATTTCTAGAGCAATTTTTCTCTATGTGCATTCACTCCTCGATGATTGTCATCATGGCACTTACTCACCTTGGTTTTGGTTCATTAATGGGACCTCTTCGATTCCTTTTCCGATGCCGATGCCGATTTCTGTTTCTTCTTTTTTCGAGTCCTCTTCCTTTTGTTGAGTCTTTGTTGCTGCTGCTGCTTCTGCTGCTTCCCCCCGACGCACATTTATTTTTGCAATTTGTTTGCCTTCCACTCGGTTTGTTGGTTTGTTTTCTTTGCTTATTTGTTTGTTTGTTTCTTTGTTGTTTTGTTTGCTCGGCTCAAACACCGGCCGCACACCTAAACACTCGCGCAAAGTACTTGGGCACAGTATCCGTATCTGTACCTGTATCTCTACCTGTATCTATATCTGTATCTGTATCTGTATCTGTATCTGTATCTGACGAGGAGCCCCGTACTCCTACACGGTTCCGTAACCGAGCCAGGGGGAGGAGTGGGAGCACCAGGAGCACCTTGTTTAAGACGAGGAGGAGGGGGAGGAAGAGGAGTAGCAAGGACGTGGTCGGGTCGAATACGTAAATGAGTTTATTGCCGGCAATAAGCAAACTTAATGCGCCTGCACGAGAGGCATCGATGCAATATATCATCTGTATTTGAGTTGTTACCTGCAAAGAGACACAAAACACACAGGAGGGGGTTAGTGATGAGTCGTAAATTCTATATATAGATGGCTTAAAAGGTTCAAAAAGTACTTGTCATATTTTGCAGAAGGTGAAAGGAAAAAGTCAAGTCAAGGCAAGTCCTTCAATTGTTACCACATAAAAGCCAAAGTTACTAAAGTTGGCTTTACTGAAAGCCATATTTCCTTTTTATATCATTGCAGGATATTAAAATTTAAGTCAGAAGTTTGGAACGAAGTAAAGGAATCATTTTCGACACAATAGAATAGGTTAACTTTTAATTCAGTATGCAAATGTATTACTTAAATAAAAGTAAACTCAGAAAAGGTTTTCCCTTTAAAGTTGCTAAGATCACTTTCCAATTCTATCAAATGATCCAATTAAGAAATTCAAAGAGTATAGAATCATCGCCTCACTGAAGTCAGCTTCTACTCTTATTTATTTACGACTTTCAAGTTGTAAAGCCAGTAGATAGATATTAAATTCAAAATACGCTTTCAATGAGACTCCAAATAAAATAACATTTATATCGTTTTCAAACAGAGAAAAAGCCATAAAAATGTCGGGTCCTTTGTTGTTACATAAATTACATAACACTTAAGAATAAATACGCAATGCAAATGAATACAAATTTGTTTCCAGAGATGGAGATGCAAAATCCAAGGTCTTTTGGGACTTTATGAATAATGTGGATAATAAGTACAGGACTTTAAAATTTAGAAATGAAAATGAAACCTTAAGCCGCAAAAATTTGGTTGGAAAAGTCAATGGAAACTCGCTCTATAAACAGGTTACCAGCGAAAGACCAAATCTACTTAATGAAAAGTTATCTCCATTTCAATTCCCAATCTTCGTATCATGTAAAAGTTAAGTCAACAAGAGAGTAAACACGAAGGATAACCACAACACAATTACGGTCTACTCGCTCAGCGGCGTGTGTTCCGTGCCTCAGATTACTCATTTCGCGTGAAAGGTACCACAGGACGACTTCGAGTACAAGGACGAGTACGAGTGGGAGTACGAGTGGGAGTGGGAGTGGGAGTACGAGGAGCAGCGGCAATTCGAGACAGCTGCCTTATTTTTCTTTTGTATTTAAGGAGCTCCAACGAAGGAGGCTTGCGAGGATAATAAAGCTTTTAAATTTGGCAGCCAAAACCAGCCACAAACCAGAAAACAAAAAAGAAAGCAACGAATTTAATGTGGTAAACAAGAATTTATATTGGCCATGGAATGGTTGGTATCTTCACTGCTGAAGATACTTTTCTACCACAAAATGTGCAAATATTTTCAGTCGGGGAAAATAATATAATATTCACTAGCTGAAGACTCATTATATATATATTTAGAGGTCCTTTGATTTTAGCTTGATCTTTATTTGTTAATATCAACGTCAACTCTAGGTCTAATTGGCTTACTTTAATCCACTTCAAGTTCGATGGATACTTTCTAGAAAAACTTAGACCGACACTAAAAATCAACTAAAAAATCAATTAAAAAATAAACACGACTTTAAAGCTGCTAAACAATAAGGCTATAATTACTTGAAATAACTTTACCTAAGCCGGAAATATTCCTTAAAAAGTCTTCTCAGAGATCTCCATCCTATTCTCAACCTTTTTAACATAATCCCACATTAGTTTATAATAATAAGGACCTTCTTACTTCAAAATTATTCATTGTTCAGCCGCACAGCTTAAAATCTTCTTAATTGGCTACCAATTAGTTGAAGACTTTTGCGGGTGTTAATTATATTCCCTTAGTTATAATGCCCCAAAAGACTATTCCCCTTTCCGTTTGCTTGTATAAATTTCTGCAAAATCGGAACGTCAAAGGGATGTTTGTAATATTATGTGGAAAAAGCAAATCTCATAGTAGAGTCTGAAATCATTAGCCTGTTTTCCACGAAGGAACCAAGCTTTCATGCCATGTGCTCCGCCCAGTATGTTATGCAAAACAAAAATTCAATTTCAATTCAATTAATCACGCTTGATTACCACCAATAATGGCCATCGGCAGCAGCAGGACGACATCAGCATCAGCAGCCAAAAGACAGCAGACAGGAGACAGTAGACAGGAGACAGGAGACGAGAGACAGCCAGGACACTGACAGGAGGCAAGACTAGTGCCAGTAGACTGACTCCCCCCAATGTGCAATCCACATCCACATAGCTCGTCTTTTGTCCTTGGTCTTGCAACTGCTTCCGATGCCGAAGCCGAAGCCGCTTTTTGTTTACCACTTTTGCACATTCTGCTGTCAAATTTGTTGATTTATAGTTCCCGATGTGGCCCCGAACAATGGCGTCGGGGGCGGGAATTGGCACAGGACCCGATGCCCGATGACAGACGGGAGCCAGGCCAAAGGCACCAAGAAGGAATAACAAACAAAAAAATGTCCTGCAAATATCACTCTGACCCTGAGCCACGACTTAAGGATACCCGGGCATGCAAAGTGCACAAAAATGGTTTACAATGTTCCGAGATACTTTGTATTCAATTTAAAGTTTCATTCAATAAGGAATTACTCTTCATTTTAAGGTTCATTTAAGCAATATTTATTTATCCTTTTACATGTACATATATACCCCACATGCATCCTGCATGGATTGACGGGTATATACAGAAAGAGAAGAGAAAACCTTGCGATAAAGCCAAACTACAAAGAACACCCAGGAAAAAAAGAAAGAAAAGTCGGCCAACAATTTCAATGACAATGCGGCAGTTTGTCTGTCAGTTTTCGCCCAACCTGCTAGCCACTTGGCTTTTGTTGTGGTGCAGTTTCAGTTTCAGCTTCAGTTTCAGTTTCGTTTTTCTGGGGCACTGGGCGGCTCGTCAAGTGCGAATTGTTTTTGGCAGAATGCGATTAGAGGTACCTGAAATAGTTTGTGGTCAGGCCCAAAAGGCCACCCACCCATCATCAGTCTTTTCCCCCCCGAAGCCCCCCATTCCCCTACCATGTGTGTGCGACTCTCTGTCCCGTGTCGATAAATCCAGTCGAGTGACCACAGAAACGAGTCACAGAGCAGAGATTGAATACACCCCTTGGCCCTCTTCAATCCCCCTGGATGTCCTGGTGTACTGGCATCCTGATGTCCTAGTGTCCGGCACATTCTCTGAACCTGAACCCGTATTCGCATCCGTAGATCCGCAGACAACCGCAAACACAGCGTCGCTCATTTGCAGGCATTCCGCATCGACTTCTAACCCGGGCCGATGTGGAGATGTGTGTTTGATGAGGCTGGAGATAATCGTTTGGCAATTGAATGAGTCCCACATCAGTCGGATTTGGGGTAAAGACCAACAGCTCCTCTTTTTGCATCCTAGATAGGCCCCTTGTCTCTGACAACCCAGCGAACATTGAATTGTTTAGCGAATGGAAGAGCTAATGTAAAGTTATTGTTTAGGAATGCAGGTTGGAGTTGCGTAACTTTCCTATCTTTGGCTAAAGTTTGTTGCCAAAAAGATTGGTAGACTAATCTGATTGAATTAATTTGATCTTGATTAATTTGATTTGAAAAGTGGTTGCCAAGGAAAGGAAACCAATATTTTATCTGTTTTGTGGAACCACAAAGTTAGAGCAAAGAGGTTTATCTTTAAATCATTTTGTTTATTTGATTTCATCTTTGGTTTTAGGCTTCTCAATAAATAACAATCCTCTTGGCAATTGCCAAATGTATTTATTTTACAACCTAAATCGTTTGATTTATTATTGAAGCAAAGTATGTATAATATTACACAAGCTTTAACAGAATTTGTATTTACAAAGAATATTAGTAATTTTTGTAGCTAAAATGAATTAAATTTAAATATATCAAAGCAAAAAGTCATGCTCTGAAATTCCCCCTCAAATAAAACTAATTTAGAAATGCAGCTAATTTATGTTCTATAATATATAAATTATATGCTTCTAAAAGGGGGTTGCTCTTTGGCTAATGGTATAAAAAGAGTGGGTACATAAATTTTAGACTGCAATTTCGTAAAATTAAAAATGGAACAAAATATGTTTTTCATTAGAAAAAAAGTTCCATGAATTCACAAGTATTTTTAATTAGCTTATTGTTGAACATAAACCACTTTCCCTTTTTTAATTATCCTAATCAAGTTTGACTTTAAAACACGCTCGAATTAATTGCCAGACTGGAGTAGGAGGAGGAGGAGGTGTGGTTTGGACATTTATGATTACACTCGATTTAGGAGGAAGTCTTATGGGGAAATATTTCCGGCACACAATTCAGCCACAACTGGGCCACTTTACGGGTGCTCAAATTTGCAAATTGAATGGACCTACTTTCCACCGGCTTTAACCCCATTGCAATGGCCAAGTCAGAGAACGTTGACCAGAGCGGGTATATAGGGGTATGGGGTCCAGGGGGTCCTTCGTCCATAAATAACAGCAAAACAGTCAGATAAATTTGCAGGAGCTATAAACAAGCTACTCCGGCGGACTCCCTTCTGGTTCCCGCACTCCCAACGAAATCGATTTAAATGCTCCGTTTGCGTGTTTTGTGTTCCGAGTTTGCCGGTTACCTTGAAGTCTTTATGTAATTTATACACAGAAATAAACAGGGATCAAATATGAAGACGATAAATCGAAGGTAGATACTTTAAGGAACCCTTTCTCGAAGAGGATGCCATGAGTTCAAGAAAGTGATTTAGGCTTCAGTAAATTGTTTA